AATAAAGCAAGGGTATAAATGGAACTGGTTGTGTTGGTCTGTTTTCTTATCATCCTGTTATTAAACAAATTGTGATAAAACTCAAGATCCGAAGGAGAACTAAAAAAAGAAGGGATACTGGGGAGGAAGGAAAAATTTAGAAAACACCAAAGCCCACTTACGGCCGTATCTCGAGTCCATTTCTTCCCTAATCTCTACCAATCAATAGACTCTTTTAATTAAGTGATATGTGACACTAACTAGCCGAGAACCATAAGAACCATATGTAAGACAGACTTTAAACATTCGCCGTGGTGGATGAGGTTCTTACCAAGAGCCATAATGGGACTTATGGCTCTTGGTTCTCACCGTAACACGAAATAGTCCAGTTTCGAGTTTACCAATGCCGCTGAATAAAAAGACTAAAGATGCCTCTGTACAGTGTTAATCTGACTCTGAAGTAAAATATTCGCAAAATACCACTGAGAACACGAACTATCTACAACTATGTGCAATGTTTCATCTTACGCTTCCACGCTTAACTGGATATTCTACGTTAATTGGCACAACACTGTATAGACGGGTCACACAAGGACACAAGGTACAAGCAATCAAATTGCAGACCTGATTATATATTAGACGGGATAGATATTTGGAGTAGGTTTTGAAAACTTGGCTGATTTTCTTGATTTTCAGCAGTATAACCATTCAAGTAATTGGTATGCGCACGTATGCTATAGTTCTCGAGTGAAAAGAAGGAGCTTTTATAGAAAAAGTGGACTCAGAATGTTTTTGTTGATTTTCGGCGGCCATATTGGTGCACCAATATGGCGTCTCCATACAAAGCTTTGCAAAGGTGCGTGAAACGTTTCGGCAAATAACTCAGAAACTGAGGGCCACAAAAAGACCTGAGACTTGGACAAATTGTTTAAAAATTAGTCTTTTATAACATTCATTTTCTTGGCTTCTTCCACTGGACGGTTTCCAATTTATTTTTTTTGTTGCGTGACAGTGAAAACTATCTATATGAGGGCAAGGTTGATAACGTAACTTAGAAGTCCTGATTGAAGATTAAATTATCGATTGTTTTTTTGGTAAAAAGTTTTAAAATGGCGGCAAGTTTTGCAGTTACTTTGAGTGGGGACGATATTCCCGGTGCATTTTTTGAGGGAAGAAACCCTGCAGAACTCAACAACGATGCCTTGACGTTTTGGCTAAAATGCCGGGGAGATAAAAGTACACAAAGGCTCAGCTGTTAAAGGAAAATTAAAATTAGAAGTACTCCTAAACTTAAAGCTTATTCTGTTGAGCGTGTTTTTAATAGTGAGTTGATAGCATGCCGCGGTGAATCTAAAATCAATCCATTTTCTCCAGGGTTGATCAGTATATCGAACTTGGTTTAAAAGACGTCATAGTCGATCCACATCCTGATTTTATATACACGGAAAGAAAAATTGTGAAAGAACAAGCAAATAGCGGCAAAGATACTGTATACCTGACTCTTGTAATATTAGTACTGTTTCTCAGTGTCAAGGGAAGATAAAGGTTAATTACTGATCCGAGTATTGGATGGGGGACCTCACTGAAGAAAATGCCTTTTTTCTCCCTTACCGAAATGGATAACTATGTCGAACACACAGGGAAGAGTTTGGGCTGTACTGGTAAGAAGTCCGTTCGAACCGGGCTCAAGTAAGCGGCAACCGTTTGCAATCATTCTTTAGCTTTAATGCTGAAGGCGTGTAAATTTAGCCTAGATGGGTCCCAAAACACTAAAGACCTAGAAAATGAACCTGTTCCCAGATCAACCTTGCACCTCTAAACTTTAAACATGGCATTAAAAAAACTATCTACCCCCAGCCTACTATGGACGTTGTTGTTTCAAAAACCAAACTAGAGGAGACTAGACGGGGAAACGAAGGAATTCATTCTCTCGTTTAAGAGGCAAGGAATAATGTAGTATACAGAAGCAGAGAGGAGCAAAAATTCAAGCAGGCAGTCAGAGTTATAAACCCTCGAATGGGGCTTGCTCAAGTTGTTAATCTTGGGAGTGAAACACAACTGAAAGAAACGCGAGAAACCCGGTACGTTCCTATGCAAGCTACCAGCCTAGCCACACAGAGCCTGATATGAGCCAGGTGAGTGGTTTACTGATGTTCCCCCTTATCGACGAGCGTGGGCAACGAAAACGTTGAAACTCAGTTGGTTTTGTCGGCAAAACAATTGCTGTCTGTACGTGCGTCACACTTTTCCTTATATTTTCTTCGACGTCTACTGCACGAACACGACATTAAAATTCATAATTTTATATTCGACGTAAACTAGACAGATTTACGCTTAATTTTTCTTACTTTTTTGGAACTTGGATACCGCAGTTGGCTCGACCAACTCGACTAATTTGGAAATAAACAGAGGTTTAGACACTGGACAAAAATTCAATAACAATAAACAAAAAAAATGAAATCGATAAAAGCCGAGTTTTGCGCGATCTAGACCTGCTACTGGAAATCGGACACCAGGAATTTAAAGTGTGGTGTTTAGCAAATATTCTCCCTGAGAATTAAAAACTTATGTATGTTTGAATTCAAATAAAATGTAAATATATTTTAAACCTTACAATATTTTCAATAGTCGGATAATTAGCCCACGTTTGATATATTAAAATTCTAACATGACTCCGAGGCTTTAGGGTCAAAATTCCAAATTTTTTACGACTCCATTGTCTGGCAATTCCCAGAAGAGACTTGGGCACAATGAAAACCAAACCAATATAGAAAAATGACCAGAAAGCCTCGGAGTCGTGTTACAAATTTTATATATCAAACGTGGGCTATTGGTAAATTAGATTTATAGATTTAGATTTTATTATTTTAAATTTTGCACTCTCTACATATTGTTTACATTGGAATTTTAATTTGTATAAGTACCTTACGGAAGTCGGAAGCTAGAGGTAGGGTTCCAAAGAATATTGTTGGGATGCCTGTTGGATCATGAATGATTTTATGTGCAAAGAGTGCTACTTTAAGTTTGAAAATGTTATCAAATTTGAGGATATGCAATAAATTATAGTAAGACGTAGTATTCTCTCTACTGTGCGCAAAAAAATTGAACGAATGCATTTATTTTGCTTAGTCCTGATCCCATTCAGCCTAGTTTTGCAAGCACTTCCCCAGCTAGTGATAGCATACGGTAGGTTAAACATGAATAGATGAAAGGGTAATACAGTTGTTTCATTGTATGCATTTTTACATAGTTCCTTAATTTGCTAATAATTTCTATATCTTTTGCTAATTTATTGTTAATATGCTTAATCTGAGGTCCCCAGTGTAAGTGGTGATCTGTATACACACTTAGGTACTTTATTTGGCTTTTGATCTTTATGTTCTTTACATTTATACTTCCACTTAACCTTGATGAGGATGAGACTAGGATGAAATTTGTCTTTGAAAAGTTTGTAGATAATTTGTTAATAGCACAGTACTTCAATTCATCATTCATGACAGAATAACAGACTCAAGGTTATGCAGTTATTACTTGTATAAAACATATTAGCGTCATTAGCAAAGATTCGGAAGGATAGTTTGCTTGAACAGTTTGGCAAATCATTAATATAAAGCAGAAATAACAATGGACCCAAAATTGAGCCTTGATGTATACCACAGCTAATAGTCTGACTGCTAGATATAGTGTCACCAACTTTGACAACCTGATTACGATTTTATACGTAGTTTTCAAACCATCTGAGAGGATTTCCACGCATACCATATCTATAGAGTTTCAATAACAGAATATCATGGTTAATTTTGTCAAATGCCTTTGAAAATTCAAGAAAAATACCGCGCGCGGGTAATCAATTTTTTAACCATAGCCTTGTTAAGTGAGTCAGTAATTTCTAAGATAGCCTGCTCAGTGGAGTATCCATTCCTAAATCCAAATTGATACTTATACAAAATGCTATATTTTTCAAGAAAGTTGTATAGTTGGTTATAAGTTAAGTTTTCGAAAACCTTACTAAAAGATTAGAGAGTTGAAATAGGCCTATAGTTGGCTGGGTCAGTTGCATGACCATTTTTGTAAACTGGAGTAACCTGTGAAACTTTTAATATATTTGGAACTATACCAGTTTCAATCGATTAATTATTAATCTGCGTGAATGGAACAGATAATGGCTCAGCAGCTATTTTTATTAGTTTGTTGGGGATGCCAATTGATGATTTGTTTGTATCTAGCTTTTTGAAAAAAATAGAAAATTGTTGTTAATTGTACAACTTAAAATGGTAAACGTTGATAAAACGGCTTCCAAGTGCCTCTAGAAGCAAAGAGACAGTAAATAATTAAACAAAACAAAACCACAAGGTGAGCCATTTTCATTTCCATTTTTGTCAAAAATGGAGTTTAGGACGTATTTTGTGTATTTTCATACATTATCTTATTTATTGAAAGTTTACCCACCGAACTTCCACAGAGCAGAGTCTGGCCGCCTGTGCTTAACCATAAAAATTGTTCTGGACTGTTTTTACCTGCTAATCTCCTAATTTCAGATATCGTCAATTGGAATCTCACTTTTCTCGCTTGCCGTAAACGTGATTGTAAAGCTATGGTACCTGACAGCTTTTCGTGGAGATACGAAAAGCTGTTCGGTATAGTAGGATACAGTGGCTGATCCAGAGGAGGGGCCAGGGGGACCCACCCCCGTTACTTTTAGACCAAACTGTGGCCCGAAGGGCCGAAAAATGATTTTTTTTGAGACCAGGGCTCCCCCTTAGGGACGGTTCATTATTTATGGGAATGACCGGGTCAGGAAAAAACCGAACGGGCTTTGAAAATTTTTCTTGCTGTGGCGACGGGCTTTGTGTTTTTTTCTTGAACAAAGAGACCGGGCTTTAAAAAAAATCAACATAAACTAAAACTGTGGTAGAAACGCGGCAGTCGTTTGATGAGAACAACACATGGAAACGGTATTCGTCGTTGAAAATTCACCCGGTAAATTGTTGTACTTTCATATCAAATAAATATTGCTACATCGAGTGCCCAATGATTTTCAGCCACCTGCAAACATAAAGAAAATGTTTAGTGACGGCATGTTAACAACGGAAGAAGAGCTCCAGCAGTTTTTGGAGAAATTTGCCGTGGAGCCGCACTTGATCAAGGCATACACTGCCCATTTAGAAGATCTTAAAATACAAAGCGGCATTAGAACAAGGGGGCGCGCAGAACAAAAGCGTAAAATGATGTCCAAAACGTTTGAAGAATATGCCTGGCGCGATCTCGTAGAGTCTGGAGATTTAAAAAAGTTGCTTGTATCTGAGCTGAATAAATACCTTAAACATTACAAACTCGTAAGCAGCGGCACCAAAGCTGAAAAGATATGGAGAATCTCGTTGCACGTGCTTCGCGGGAACCATGGTCAATAGAAAGATACGAATGAGTTTACTGACGAGGAGACGAAGGAATGTGGAACGGAAGATGACAGCGAGGAAATTGACAGCTCAGGGGACGATGAAAGTGAGGCGGATATTGTCCTTGGAGAATTGTTAAGTGGGCCTGACTCAGACCAAGACACGATCGCGACTTCATCACGCGAACGGGAACATTATTTTTTAGCAACTAAGATAATTTGCAGTCTGTCTACTTTGAATAGCATCGATGAAAGTGAAAAGATATGGTTTGTCTTTCAAAGCGATTCAGATGAGGAGGAATTTTATGGTTTTGATTGAGTTTGCAAACAGTTGACTTTTTAAAAAAATTAATTCGGGTCGCTATAACAGAACCTAATGTGAAACACTATAGTATAAATCCGTTTCTTTTTTTTCATGCCCTGTGGACATTAGTTACCAGTCCTCCCATGTCTTGCTGCTGTAACAGAGACCTGGAACAAAGTTTGGAATGTCCTCGTGTACGTCTCGCGAAGGTGTATAAAAACATGTTTGTGGAAACTTATTCCTTTAACAAAATGTCGAATACTTTCAAGGGAAACTTTACTCCACAAGAAGTTCTATTTGGAGAGGTTGGAAAACTGCAAACGCGTCTTGCAAGTCATTTAATACGAACGGTTATATATCCGTGTTCAAAGATGTATTTAGGACTTTTTCACTTATTTGGCAAACGATGAAATGCCTCAAGCTGGATGGCATTTGTTAACGTGCACTTTTCACAGATGTTAATAAATTATTGTTTGTAATCGCTGAACTCGTTTGATAGCCGTTTGCTGACTCGAACGGCGAACAGTTGTGTATTTGATCCGAACATGCACTAGTTGCTCTAGTCGTAAATAAACATTGAATGATTTTCACAAGGTACTCACTTCAATTTGAACGGGCTTTGAAAAATTTGACCCCAAATACTGAACGGGCTACGAAAAAACAAAATGCCTTTTGGGCGGGCTTTAGAAAGAAAGAGGAAAGCTATTATTTTTTTCCCGACCCGGTCATCCTCATAAATAATGAACCGTCCCTTACCTCAGGGTCTAGATGTCTCCCCCCCCCCTTATCTGTAGGTCTGGATCGGCCACTGGGATATGAGATGAACATTAATTAACCACTTAAAGGACTGCAAAGGACCGCAAACGAAAATGCCGAAGAACGTAGGTTTTATATAGACCTGGCTATGACCGGTCATACATTTAAAAGCCATTGTAGCGTTCCGGTAATAAAGCTGACTGGGAACTGAAAGCCAATTTAGCTCCTTGCGAATTGGTGTAACATGGTCAAATTTACGCGCGCCGCTAACAATGCGGCATGCGAAGTTCTGCACTGCCTGTAACTTGTTGACATTACATTTTGAGGTATTTGACCAAACATTGGAGCAATAAAATAACCTGCTAAAAACTAAGGAATTAATAATCATCAAAAGTGTACGTTTGTCGAAGACATGCTTGACACGGTTTATCTGGCCTAGGCGGGACATGCACGAGGAAGCGGTTTTAATTATATGTTCATCGTAAGTTAAATTAGAATCCAAAGTCACACCAAGGTCTTTGGCGGTGTCTGTAGGGACAATGTCCTTACCCATAAAGGAAAGGTAACGAAATTGGAATTTTGCACGCATCTGCCTGCTGCCAAATATCATCAACTTGGTTTTGCCAGGGTTTAGTAACAATTGATTGTTGGAACACCATTCCCCTATTTTAAACAGGTCGTCTTCCAAATCAGCAATTGCATCCAGGTTGGCTTTAAGCTCGAAGGAAGTGATGAGTTTCGTATCATCTACATAACTCTGGGTGCTGCATTTCTGTGGGATCAATGGAAGATCGTTCGTATATATGCTAAAAAGAAGTGGGCCCAAGATGCTTCCTTGAGGAACGCCACTGGTCACAGACAAAGGCTCAGATAGCGTTGAATAGATTCGTACTACTTGTGACCTGTTGCTTAGGTAGACCAGTGGGATCTATACCTTTACCGGGTTCTCGGAGAAAACGTTACTGGTGCCTACCTAGTGACATTATTTCCCACTGGGTTTTTTTCTTAGTTGTGTATCTCTTCCTATAAAAGCTTAAAGGAGTGGCAGGCCTAACATATTTACCGGTATAAAACCTTTTAAATTATTGCTCTAGCAAGAAGAACTAAAAGATTTACTTGACTTTTTTATGCGAGATCGATTACCTGTACCCGCCGATCTTTTCTTCCAATGATAATAAAGTTTTATATTTTTTGCTTCTTTTAAACAAATATGAATAACTAAATGCACTCTGGTTTTGTAAAAGTCACCATAGAAAGTTACCGGGAAAGCAAAACGTTAGCCGGGTAGAAACACTGACTATTCCCGGAAGACTGAATTAATTGACCACTGGGTACGGTTTCACTCATGGGTCTGTTACAGCGGGATGATTGTGAATGGACAACTTCTTTTCTTACACAACGACTTGGTTGAAACATTGTGAATAATGCTCCTGGAATGGAACAGATTTATCACTGGTAAAGATGTATATACATTTATTTTTATGAAAGAACCATCGGTGCCAGCGACTTTTCAGCAGGTACCAATTAACTGACTCGGCAGGTTAGAAGTATCTTCCTTCACTGAACATCAGGTCAAACAAAAAACAAATGATCATTTATTGATAATTCTTGTTTGAATTGAATCGGTTTCCTGGAACCTCAATTATTGTTAAACGACCACATGCGTCCTTTACAGATGACATCGACTTTCCCTCAAATTGCACGATTTTTCATATTGATGTCTGTAGTGTATGGAGAGACAGGTGATCATTTTGTTAACTATTGATAGTGTTAGACATTTATTTAGCTATAATTATTCCTTACGCAGAGCGAAATATTTCCCTGATACATGCACAGTCCTTCCGATTCTTTCACTTGTAAGAATCGGTTAAAAAAGAACGTTTTAGCCGTTTATCAACTTAGTTTTCTAAGTTCCCAGGACTACGTATTTAATTGTTTTTTCTTATGCTTATGGTTACAACAGGAATAATGTCATCTAATAAAACCACATGCGACACTTCCCTCAGCTTTTAGGCTACTTACGTTCACACTATATCGGCGGATAGCCTCCGGGGGTACTCCCGCGAATTTTGGATAGGGGTGTGCCGCGAAGGTTCGTGTACCCTAACCCTATTTAAGGAATAAGAAAGCAAAAACTGATAACCTTTTTAAGGCCCAAAGCCGAAAAATGACACCCTATTCAAGGAAATAACAAAATTATTAATAGCATGAAAAGGAAAACTTTATTTCTTATCTGTAACATTGGATGTATAGCATCAAGCATAAAATACTAGAACAAGCCTAGTTTAATAATATGCAATCATAACAGGCGGGCGTTTTCATACTCCTGTATTGGATAATCCAATTAAGCTACCCTATCTAAGGACCACACCAGGGACAAAAGGTCAAAAAAGATACCCCATTTAAGGACCGAGAACCTCAAAAACCATACCCTATTCCGCGGCACGTACCTATATAGCCCATATATGGGAGTAACCCCCCCCGCCCCGGGCGGATAGCTTTTCGTGCCGCTACGAAAGTTATCCGCCGGTTTAGTGTGAACAACAACACCCTGGTACCGGTATGGTTCACACTTGTTTGTGTACAGACATCGTGCTAGAAAGATCGGTCGGGCAAGAGGGTTAAATTTGGTGCACTAAGGCCCAGTCAACACTAATCAATTTCAAGGGTATGCGTTTTTGTTGTCATCGAAAACGCATCTATCGATTCGAGACCACGCCACCGCTTTGATGCGTTTTCGACTGTCCACGCCAGAACGTTCGAAAACTAATAGAATTGCACGTTGTGACCTAAGTTGAACGCTATACATGCGCATGCTACAAGACACAAGCCTGTGATATTTTTGATCATCGTTTTTTCATCTGTTTAATTTGATGCATTTCGATCGTTTTCGACCGTCCACACCAATGTCATAAGTATTGCATTTTCGATTTGATACACTTTTAAGAGCATTTTCTTTGAAATTGTTACTTGCAAACAGTGAAAAAATAAAGTTGAAGTTGGAGTCAGTACGGTCAGAAGTGTAGGGTACGTGTTGATGCATTTTCGATTTTGGCAAGAGAGGATAAAGGGGACAGAGAAGGCATCCCCCATACACACCCTATTCCATAGGTAATTCGTCTCGAGTTATTTTTAGAATCGGGATAAAGTTACCTCGCGTGCTGCGTGGATGTTTCGTGGAGGTTCGCATGACTAAACGCCGTGCAAAACATGTCGGGTGAAAGGCAATGAAAGAGTAAAGAGATCGAGAGCATTTCTGAATATTGAAGCGAAATGAGTCGGCGCTCACCTGGGAAAAGGGAATCGCTGGACTCTTTAACAACCCGTGAAATCAGTTTAATAATCTCAGTGCTTTAATAAAATGAGAATTTTCCCGGGTCTATTGAAACCGGTCGTTTGTACAATAAAGCAAGTAGGACGCCAAGTGTTATTCTTGTTGAATAATAAAAGACTAATAAAAGAATAAATATCAAACCCGAAATTGCTCTCTTCAAACTGTAAATTACAAATGATCCTGAGAGAATATTCAGTGTGTTAAAGATTTTCCTGTTAGCTCCATACAAGAGAGGAAGGGCGATTCTTTTTTAATTTCCATTTCGCTGACACCGCTTTAGTAGAAATCTCTCGTCGACAAAACAAATAGCAATATCGCTCTCCGCGTCTTCCGCCATTTTTTTTCAGCGCCAATTCGTGAAGGACGCGTGGCTCTGAACGTGGGTCATCCACGCGGAACACATTCGCGCTATGTGACTGGCTGTTGTCTAATCCCCCTTGGGACCTGTGGTCTTAAAAATAACTCGAGACGAATTACCTATGGATTAGGGTGTCTATGGGGGATGCCTTCTCTGTCCCCTTTATCCACTTTTGATTTTGGATGGAAACGCTAAGTCTATTAGAGTGGATCGGGAAAGGCCCAAACGGATCGAAGTCATTCTACATGTTTTCATACCAAAACGAATTAGTTTTGAAGGGGCCTAATTCTCAATCCTCATCCTCTTACATGGTGTTTTGTCAAAAATGTTTTACTAATTTTCAATCTACTGAACGTTGGATCAGCTGTTTGCAGTAGATTAGTCTTTACAACTCGTCCCGCGGTTTTGTCTGGCGAGCGTCCCGGAACGAGCAAACTTGTTGTCGTTTCTCGTTGTTTCCCCCCATTCCATACGCGATTGCCCCCCACAACCAAACCATCAGCTACGCAGGCTAGCAATGGATATAAATTAGATGTATATCGTTTGTCTGTTGCCTTCTATCATGCTTTCCTTTAATTTTTCCAAGGCTTCATTGACTTGGGATGTTGGCGTTTACCCGAAAACGATAAAGAAGTAGCAACAAGCTTGGAGGGATCTCATAATGGATTGGAAGGACTTTACTGGGATAGGTCTGTATTGTAACTGATTTTTTTTTTAAATTTTTTACAACATGTCCAGACAGAGGGAAACCCATCATGTCAATTGAATGAGAATTTGGGATTCTTTACCAATTGACATAATGAAAGTCATAGCTTTGGAAGGTAAATAGGTGCAAAATTGCTAATTTTGTTTTCTCGTTTGGACTGTGCCATGAAGTTTGTGTTCCATTTCTTCAATTCTTTCAGGCCCGCACGGCTAATTATCTGAGAATGCAATCATTTGGAAGTTATCTGTGCAAATCAGAGGTTCATAACCCGAAGCGAGTATCTTCCATGCGCTCTTGCACGGACAAGAAAGATTTTGGTGCATTGTTTGAATATCGAATGCGCTCAAAGACATGGTGAAGATTCTATTCGCGGGTCAAAGTGCCCTAAAATGTGTCTAAGAATAAACCCTGGTCCGTAAAAACGGCGTGACTTAGGCCTTGTATAGTATTGGAGTTGCTCCGGCGCTCCGACCTTGATTTTCAAATCTCTAATTTTACTTACCTTGTCACCAAACCATAAATTGGTGAACGATTCCCTCAAATTTTCCATGTAAACTGCAGAAGACGGAAATCGGAGTTTCATTTTTTGAAACCCGCGCGGTTCCATGTGGATTTTCTTTAAAAACCCATTTTTTGCCAACTGGTCCGCGCCCTAATACCACTTTCAGGTTTCTAGGGACTAAAAAAGAACTGTTTGCTCTTTTTTTGCCGTAAAAGTGAATAGAATTGAGTTGTACCATGAGCCTTAGTACCACTAAATTTTCTATTTTTTATTATAAGAAATAAAACATGAGAGAGTCAGTTCATTGTATTCTTCGAAAATCATCCTTATTTTCTTTAAACAATGATAAATGCAAATGGGATCCACACTACTGGTCCTAGTACCGCGTTACAACCAGGCGGTAATTTCATTCTATTTTGTTTGTTTGTTTGTTTGTTTGTTGTTGTTGTTCAGTTTTATAAAAACCGTGAAAACTCATACTTAGATTCTGGCATGCGCGCGGACTGATGGAAAATCTTGTTCCTAGTCTCCTCAGTTTGCCAAGGCTTGGGTGCCTGGGATATTTTTCCGCAAGATGGCTGGTAGGCTCCATCGTCAAAGATTGAGTTTTGTCTTGTTTACCAGGAAGTCATGGCTTGTATTACTTTTTTATCCGAAATAATGCAACTATTAGAAAGTAAGTTTGGATAAACGACCCAACTTCGTGATGAAAATGCTTCTATTTTGCACATTTAACGGTCAATGTGATTGCATGAAGCAGACTGTCCATGAAGCCCGTGATTGAAAGTAATTAGGTAGGTAGCGTTAATTCACATAGTCCTAAAAAAATGAAACTAGAATTGAAAAGGGCGCTGCACTATTTGGTTGGAAACCTTTAGTATGGTACCGTGAGCTTAGGCTGCACGAAATTCTCTAAACCGAACTGATCGATATTCAACGGTCGAATCCTGTCACACATTGATCCCAAGTACATGTAATTGAGCTTATAATCTTGTTCGCCTCCTCGACATACCCTCGTAGAAGAGTTTGGCTTGAAAGTTGAGGTTGTGGAAAGTTTTACTAACTCTACTGCTGTTTTGCAGAGCTAATTCCGTCACACAATGTGCTGCAGTGGCTAAAGACAAAGGATATAAGTACTTTGCAATCCGGAATGGTGGTGAATGCCTTTCAGGTAGAAACCTTTATTCTAGGCATAAGGAACACGGAGAATCAGATGAATGCTTTGATGGTGAAGGAGGTCATGATGCCATGAATGTGTACAACATAACAGGTAATATCTAATGGATTAATGGTATTATTATTCATTCAAACTGATATTTCTTCATTTCTGATTGGCTCAAATCCCCCAGCTAATTCTTCATAACCAGCTGGGGCAGACCATATTTGGAATAAGAAGATTTAGGCAATAACCAACTGATACAATGGATATTTAATAAAACCTCAGCATCAGCTACAGTGGAACCTTGATACAACAAATCTCTATATAACAGGTCTTCTGACTGGTCGTGGAAGGTAAAGTCAAATTTCGCGGGATTTTTAGGGAAAAATTTGCGGAAAAATCGGCCAATTTCGCAGAAATTTCGCAGGAGTTTTTGGGGCAAACTTCACCAAAAAGCAATTGCTAAAAAACAGCTGATTTTGTGGTTATTTTCAAGGCAAATTTCGCTAGAAATCGATAGTTTTTGCGCTGATCAGACCAGCGTTTTTAACGTTTTTCTAACAGAGGTCATCATTTGCTCTTTCAATAAAAATATGCTCCAGAAATGAACCAATGGCAAAGGCTTTAACATCATGGCTAGTGCCCAGTTTTTCGCAACATAATCTACGCATGGTAGTTTCAGGACGTTGTTTGCACCTTTCAGTCACGAAGTTCCAAGATAAATTTGCAAGTTTACGGCCAGTAAATAGCCCCAATAGCTGAAATAAGTTCCAAATATGTTGTACAGACATATATTTGATAAGATTTCTACTGAATTTTGTGGTATTTTCCGTGTTTTTGTGAATTTAGTGGGATTTTGCGGATTTATCTGAATTTCGTGGCTCCGCGAGCGCACAAAACATCAGAAGCCCTGATATAACGAAATCCTCAGTTTAACTAACGATTCTCTCTGCCCCAGTAATAGTGAAATCTATGGAAGAGAACCTCGTTAGGACAAACCCCCGTTATAGTAAACAAAATTTTGTTCAGTCCGTTGGCCCTTTGTTATATTGAGGTTCTGTGTTTCCAGTGGGTAGGTGATATAAACACAAATTCTTATTTATATAACACCCCATATATGTGCTTTTAATAGGGGATATCCCAGAGCTAGAAGATTTTGAAGGTGACATCCTCCTTACAAAGGTTCAGAAAGCTATGATAAGACCTTTGCATCAAGATGTGGCTGCCGCGGGAGTCTGGTCCAAAACTCAGTTTATGTGGCCTGAGAGAACTGTTCCTTATTACATCCCACCTGATCTTGGTAAGAATGATCACTCTTTCAGTTATTTTGTATTGTCAAAGCTGAGCCATCAGCTACGCAGGCTAGAACTGGTGTTCGAAATATTTTACAGTAAATGGTGTTGTTAGGAATAAATATTCATTATATGTTAGAACAGGCCATCTGATAGGGTGCGATAAAAAGTCAGAAATGGTGCGATATTTTCAGGGTAGATTGTCAATAAGATAGGATTATTATGCAATAAATTATGTGGTTTTTTCAGGGCTAATTTACATTGTTTTACCAGGTTTCGAAGGAGAAAAACCACTTTAATGTTGTTTAACAGGCAATTTGAATGTAAAGGAATAATAAAACATCTATTTGAAAACAAAATAGTTAAACTTGTCCGATTATTTTGACCCGGAAAAGAAAAAGGACACTTGCTTAATATTGCATGACACGCTTACACCACTGACCACACTGCTTGTTTCTGAAATCAAAATGGCTGCCCCGATACCGTGATTGCCCGATCAAAGGTTTCAGATGTCTTGCCTTTCTTTAGTGGTAAATCACCTTAAATAAAATTAAGATTGAGAAAATTTTTAATTAAAGTTAGAATTCATTGTTTACTTTACTTGAATTTAGCATTTTTTTATGAATTATACGATTTTCCTCAAATTGTGCGATCGGATGCGATTTCAGGTCAATTGTGTGAAATCGCACCATCGCGTAATATCAGATGGCTTGTTAGAAACAACTCGGTATGCTTTGCAGTGTATGGGGCCATGTTGACAAACTCACAAGTTCTTTGCAAGCATGCTGAGATAAACTTGTACGCCCAAGTTGATGTTAAGGCTGTATAATGCAGAACTGGTGTCAAATCAAACATTATCAACTACTGTAACCCTGTGTATAGCCTTTAACGACATCAGGGTAAAGCCACTCTTATAAATTAAATCAAGTTTTAAAATGTGGCCAAGAAATTTAATAGAAAAATAACAAAATGTCAGCCATGTTTTTTTACTTGGGTTTGGTTGTAGCTGCCCATTTTGTTACCAGACAAGCTCACTCTCTGTAGATCAGGGAGAAACGTAACATGCATGGACTTTGTCTGATTATGGTGGCTCACTTAACTTGATCAGTGATATGTTAATATATTATAACTATCATCATCGCTGACCGCTGACCACTGACCGCTGATTGCTCTTGTGGGCTTGCTCTTAGACTCCAAGGACTGGGATTTCTTTATTTTGAATATCCTTTCTTGAGCACATCTTCTGGTTGCATGGAAAAAAGTAAAGTGTATCATAAATTTTTGTAAGTAGTTTCCTTCATAGCCAATGTCTCATGAGGTTATAGATTTCATAGTAACAACAACATCACCTTACGATGTTTATTCGATTAACGCCGCCCTAAAGAAATGCCATCCTTTATCAAATGCAACAGATGAAAGCAAAACTACCAATAAATGCCACCCTCTAATAAACGCCACACGTAATCAGTAGAATGTGGCGTTTACTTGAGCATAATAAGAAAAACGTTGGTACAACTTGGTAGTTTACACCATCCAGACATTTACTATTCTACATGTAGCTCAGCAAAATATGAGTGTCAATGGAACGTTAAAATTTAATCTTAATCTTTACAAACCATTTACAATAACTGTTGTCAGTGATTAAAAAAAAAAATGATTTTGAAATAAACACCACCCTTAAATAAATGCTGCATTTGAAATGCTAAAAATTTAATAAACGGTGCAGCATTTAATCAAATAAATACAGTATTTCTTTTTTTAAAACAATATCAGACACATTGATTTACTTCTAGTGAGTAGTCATTGAGGTAGGTTGTCTTAACTAAATACAAAAATTAATGTTTACTTTGAGTGATGGAAAGTTGATTTACTCAACCTGGTTAACTCACTGCTAACCAGAACCAGAATCCCTCTTAGTTGTCATGTGTTTCATTTTTCAGTTGGCCATCAGTTAGCTGACAAGTTTAATCATGGGATGAGACACTGGCGTGAACAAACATGCATTCAGTTTGTCCCTAAGTCTGGTCACAGAGATTGGATTGAGTTATATCGAGAAAAGAACCCTGACAGCCGTAGGTAACGTGGTTATGCCAATGGTTATATATGGGAAATTCAAATACCCTGCTAGTGGAAGTTCTTTTCTGGCTTAGTTTTTCATTGGCCTTTGTAGAGTCTATGCATGCTTAAAAGTACATGTAATGTCATAAGGCCTACACTTGTAGTTAAGGATCAAGGGAGCAACTGCGATTTGGGCAAGCTGTAGCTATAGAACGTACTAGCCCAATATTTATTTTAACTAGCCCTTCTCTCCTTATTTTTTAAAGGCATGGTTGATTACAGTTCTTCTTGTCATTTGAATTCCCCCAAAAACTTTAACTGGCCTTTTTAGCAAGGTACGAAGAGAATTTACTATCACGATAGCAGAATTTACTAGCGTCAAACTATTGGACACTACTTTCTTTGCATGCTGAGGGCAGGGGGCTGGGGATTTTTCCAGCTAGGAGACAAAAGAAAAAATAGAACCAAAGGAAATTCCTAGCTGCATGTTCAATACCCCACCTGCTAATTGCATATACCCAGCGAGGATAAAGTCTTAGTGACAGCCCTGTATGTTAGAAAGAAACCGTAGTTAGTAGGGTTAGAGAAATGGGTTAATTGCTTCTGGGGACTCAGTTAAACCTTATAAATAAGCTAACAACAAAGATGTAGCAGGCCATTTTGTAAGCTTGTAGCCAAACAATGAATGGAAAATCATTTTAAAATAAAAAAAAAAACTCCATCATTTTTCCACCCTCCAGTTTGTGTATTTAATACACAAACAAACATGTAATTATGTAAATTGTTTTGTAATACAAACGCAAGCAAAAAAAAGCGCATTTGAGGGAGACCAAGGCTAGCCACTGGTTCCGTCTTCACGCTGATCATGAGCTTTAGTCAGTGATGAGCCTAACAATGTGTCTGTTTTAGGTGCGCCTCTTCCATTGGTCGTATTGGTGGTTACCAGCCAATCAAATTAGGAGACCACTGTCCGGCAGGCAGCCTTATTCATGAAATGGGACATGCCCTGGGATTATGGCATACGCAGTCTCGGCCAGACAGGGACGGTTATGTTAAAATAATATGGGCAAATATCCTACCAGGTAAATGCATTGTAGCTTTCGTCTAATTGAGTAATTGTCTTGGGTAAATAGAGAAGAGAAATGATGGCGTGACAAAAACCAAATTTGTGAGATTATGGGATTGATTGGTTTTTCTTGTTCTTTCTGGATATGCTAACCTATCCCATAATTTAACAAATTTGAAGTTTTGTGACGTCACATCAGCTTCTCTATAGGAACTTTGCAGTTACTTCTGTCTGTGGCCTACCTCCCTGATACAGGGGCACCTAGATGTGGTGCCTACAATTCCCCTAACTTTTTATTTGGCCCACTTTAAGGTAGAAACCTCTCTAAGATTGGACATTTAATTCCGGTTCCATAGAGTTTGCTGTATTCTCGTTTTTCTTTTGGTAGAAGACGCAAAGGGATCATTTGCTGTAACTGTTTCATTTCAGACGGCTTTAAACTCGCTCTAGCAAGTTTATAACTTCAACTGCAACTTTATTTGAATTCACAAATAACTTACAATGAATACTTAAGACTGGCCTGCAACTAGACTGCTAGTAGTCTCTCTTTTTCTTCAGATTTAGGCCCGGTTCAGACGCCGTACTTGTCCGCTCAGCTGTTCTTTCCGCCTAGCCCGGCCGGGAATTTCGCCTTTGGATCGACTCTGGAACGCCTTTGATTCAGACGCCGCACTTTTCATGTACCGAACCTAGTGCATAAATTCTTATTACGTGTTTCAGTTTGTAAGCAGTTTGACCGAAATGAGCATTTTTCTCCTTCTGAATTTAGTTCGGCTGGAATTAAGATCCGTGTCTGAATCGATTCAGCTGGTCTAAATAATTTGGGTCGGCCTTAATTCGAATATAGGTTCGGCTTACGAAAAGTACAGCGTCTGAACCGGGACTTAGTGAGAGCAGTGCACGCACGCGCGAGCGTCGAGCGATGAAGCCGCAAGACATGAGAAACAAGGGCGGCGGCCCGAGAAGTCACGCGTGTGGTCATTTTCGTCTCTCGGCTGTTTCCCCCGAGGAGCTAACTCTATGGAAAGAGAGAGACTACTCGTAGTCTAGTTTATAACTCATGCACACTTAAAGCGCCCTGTAAATTTTAACAAAACAACATGCCATGCCATTGTCTTTTCAAAATAAGTGATCTGTTTTTTTTCTCTCTGTTCATGCTAGGTAAATCAGAACAGTTTTTGAAATATGAACACGGCATTGTTGACACGCAAAAAATACCGTACGACTATATGAGCATTATGCATTATGGAAAAGACTACTTCGCAAAGTTGGATGCAAGCAAAAGGCATTATCTTACCACTATCGAGACTAAAGATACGAAATATCAAAACTCTATTGGCCAGAGGAAGTACCTGACGCCGAGTGATGTCCTTGCGATAAATACCGCGTATGGATGTCCCGGTAAATATTAATATTAACATTGATTTTTACTTTTTCTGAGGATAATTGCGTCACAAAGATTGAGTGCTTTTTGCAAAAGAGGTAATGTGTTGTTTTTAAATCTGTAGTTCAAATTACCTCACTACAATACAAGAATAGGGAGGGGTTTTAGAGCAAAATGAATTAGGATACTGTTGACTGTCGCTCATAAGGCCTTAGCTTATATATCTTCGTCAGTGGTTTCAAGGCTGGTTTTCACTGGTTTTCGGAGTCGGGGTCGTAATCAGAAGCCTAAGACTTTACGATCTAGCGAAAACAGCGTTCTGATTCCGCTTACGACTCCGTCGGCTGTCGCAAACTAGGTTGTCGGAGTCGCAAGCAGAAGCGTATGAACCAAACCAATCACAAAAGCGTTGGAACGTTTAATTTGATTGGTTTATCCTTCCGCTACTGCTTTCGACTCCGACAATCTGGTTCTCACTAGATCGTAAGCGGAGTCCAAAGAAAATGGAAACGTTCTGATTCTTTTGACTCCGATTCCGTCGCGCATATGACTCCGCCTACGACTCCGATTTTTGATATTCACTAAGTCATAAGCGCTCTTGCGACTCCGCTTTCGACTCCGACTCCGGCGCTAGAGAAAACCAGCCTTTAGGAGCGCTTATAAGGAGGGGCTTGTATTCGAGGTGGCTTGATATCAGAAAAGAAAGAGCGCTTAAAAACGTCATAAAAAGGACGGGCGCATGAATCCAATCCTTCCGCCCTTGCAGCCAAACTGGACAAATTTGCTTACACACGTTATTTATATAAAGAAAGCCACTCCCGAGGGAGAAACGCAGACACACTCCTGAAATAGATCTCTCCCTACTAATTCGTCAGAATTAAAGGCCAGTGTTACGCGAGCGAGCGCTGGGAATAAGGCTAGAAGACAAAGGGAATGGAGAATCAACTTAGGTTAATAAGAAATTAACCCGAAATCAAATTTCACCACCAAGCCTCGTTACGAAATTAAAAAATTAGCGAAGTTTCAAAGAAATGAATTCCCGAGGCAGTAAATTGAGGCAGTAGAGTTGAAAAGAGAATACCCACGCACAAAAAATGCAAATGCAAAAAGTTTTGATCACAAGCGAGGCTTGGTGGTGAAATTTACTCGTCTGACGTAATCATAAATAAGGGCTATCGTTGAACTCACGCAATACAGCGTTTTCACTCACTTGATTAGCAGCTATTTAAACTTATTCAACCAAAGAGTGGATTTTCTCACCGGACTGGTTTGGAACATTAAGATCGCCGCCGTTTTATTGTTTTGGTACACTAATATGTTGCAGATGTGACGTCTTATAAAAACGCTCCATAGTTAACTATCCGTGAGCGTTTTTTTTTTCTTTCCAGTTAATCAGATATAATAGAGGATTAGTTACATTTTGTGATGCTGCTGTTGTTGTTGTTGTTCTTGTTATTAGAGAGCTTTACAGGGTTGCCACTCATCAGAAAGTTAAAAATTCCCTAACTTTTCCCTGACTTTTCACTGACCTTTCATTAATGAGAAACAATCCATGTTTACATTTGCTTTAGCATTTTTTTTCGATAGTTTTCTCTTCATTTTCATCCTCTTTCAGCTTTTTGCGGAAAGAGGAAGAAGGAATTTGGAAGAAAGCATTCACAACGAAAACCACGAACCTCAAGTAATACACATGTGTCGGGCGTAGAGTGTCCAATTGATCGCTTTGCTTGCTTTGCAGCATACTTTTCATCTTTCCCGAAAGAAAACGCATTTCAAAATCTTGAAGAAAACTTATGAACTATAAACCGGAAAACAGAATTCCCTGACCTTTCACGGACTTTGACAATAGCAAAGATTTTCCCTGACTTTTCCCTGACTTTGAAAAATTTTCGTTTTTCCCTGACTTTTCCCTGACCGTGGCAACCCTGGCTTTAGATTCGAGGACGAGAACGACTACGAGTACGAGATTTGACTGTATTTTTTATGGCGTATTCTCCAAAACTAGACGCCCCGGAAAACTTCATTGAACTTGTGCTTCACCAGAAAAGTTAGCACTGTTATCTTTATTAAAGGAGATTAAGCCGTCTTCCGATCGCAAAATGATAAAACGTGTAACATTTGATAACTCCTCCGCCACTACGACATTCACGCTAAAACTTGTAGTAGAATGACGACGCTCTTTTCCCGCCAAAATAGGGACTTTAAGATCTGGGACGCGACGACTTCTAGAACGCGGTGGCTGATAAAGGACTGGACCTGTAGAACGCCGTCGTTTGCGCGCGAAAAGTAAAGTTAAGATCTCTGTCGCGATGCAAGACGACGCGGCTGCAAACCGCTCTTTATCAGTGTGATTCTTCGGCGATTCTTTCGCAGAAATAGCCATGGCATCATTTAAGAAAGTCCAAGAAATGCTTTGTTTGTGCTTTGTTCGATAGCATCATCTCCACTTCTTGGTTGACGCTTCGGTTTGTCATCGCTTTCATCCTCTGATGAACCTCTTTTCTTCGTCTCTGACAGCTTCTCCATCGCTTTTAGTCTAACATCTTTCACTTTAGCCCGATCGTATTGACGTTTTTTGCTAGCTGTTCCCTGTGTTTCCTGTAATTCCGCTTCGCCACTTTCTTCCAACGCGATGATCATATCTAATAGGTTTTCTAGTTCCGTTGGCTCATCGGGAGTTATCCCAGTTGCTTTTTCCTCCGCTAGAAGTTTCTTCTTATGCTTGTAAACAAGGATTCCCACGTGGTCTCGGACTGATCGCTTATCAACCCTGAATTTCGGCACAGTGAATTTGTTCAAGTTATCTGCTATTTTTTCCCACATTCTACTTCTTTGTGTTGACCCTTTCTTAGTTGTGTAGGGATTTACATTGACGACTTCTCTGCATAGAATGGCTTCATGATCATGAGTCCAAAACATTACTGAACTAAAGAGAAGCATAAAAACACACACAGTTTAATAAAATAAAATAAAATAATACAGGCTTAAAATTGGCTTTTAGCCGCAGATGAACGCAATAAATCGAGAATTGCAACGGTACAAGAGACGAGAAGAGTATGCAGAAGACTCCTGCATTCACTATTTGCAGTTTTAGCTCGTGACTTACTTGCAAGCCTCGCTCGAAGTCGAAGTCGAAGGCGCTGCCATTTTATAAGCTTCGTACACCTGAAAGAAATTTAAAAATAATCTGAAATCCTTCCATCTCTGCGATCTAAAATGTCGCCAGAAATTACGTCCAATGATCCTAGAAGGCTGATGTTACATGTTTAGAGGAATATACCATCATTTAATTTAAGCACAGGAACAAATATACTCACGTTTTGTACAGAACGTCAAACACGCAAAACCCACGTTCTCGACGCGACGTGGTGACACCAGGACAACGGCTTGAGCATGCGCAACATGTCTCCTCTTTGAAAATCTACTTCCTGTCGCGTCTTACAGCCGTCGCGTCTCGGATCTTAAAGTCCCTAATGATCCGGGCTCACGCGCGAGCAATGCTCAGTGTTGCGAAAATCTCGTACTCGTAGTCATTCTCGTCCTCGAATCCAAAGCTCTCTATTGTTATTCTGAAGCAAGTATTACTTTAGGCATAGTTAGTAGAGGAGGCTGGTTAGGAAGTCCGGCAAACATCAAAGTTGAAGACAATGGTGCTGTAGGTTATGTTGGAAGCTCCTTAACCGTCCACAATCCTTAGTTTTCTGTTCACAAATTATGACTGAATAATAACATACCATAATACTCTTTGTTTGTCACCTCAAAAGTTTGCATAAGCATTGTCTTCAGTTCCTCTTGGGAGTTGAAAAGGCCCCAAGAGAAACTGAAAACATTGCTTATGCAAAATTTTGGGGTGACAAACAAAGAGTATTTTGGTATGTTATGGTATTTTCTGGAGTAGTCAATTGAACGCTGTGCACGGTCAGGCCCAAAAAAGCTAGCAAAAACCTATAACAAAAGGTTTCCCAACCATTCCTCTTAAATTAACTATGCTTTAGGTTATCTGTTTTTCTTTCAATCTTTATTTTTTTTTCCAATCTTTCTCTTAAGATTACCCATACATGTGGCACACTGGGAGTTGGAGTGATTGCTCAGAATCATGTGGTAAAGGTAAACAGACAAGGAAAGTCTTTTGTGCCAAAGACGGTGGAAAGCAAGCCGACCCCAAGTTTTGCAGCGAGACGAAACTCCCGGAAGATTCTCAAAAATGCTATGGAAGGCTATGTGGTAAAGTAAAGTTAATTGTTTCGTTACGTACTGAATGTCTGGTCATAACTCTATACATTACGAACATAAAGTAACTGTTAAGGGATTTTCAAATAATTTTATACATTTTCTATAATTCTTCTTTCAAGTTAACGTCATGTAAAAACACAGGAGAAACGTTTGGATGGTCGTCTGTCAAGGGTTATGATTAATTACAGATTTCCTTAAATAGTTTGCCAATACCAAATACACACTTAGTATCGACCGGAACGCCCTAAACAGGAAACAGCTTCCCTCACAGAAGGGCTTCCTAAACTCACAATAAATAAGAAATAAAAAAACAACTAAAAGAAAGAATCATAAATACCTAGACAAGTGGCAGTCATGTACAATATTAAACTAGAATATAATTAAACTAGTAAAAAAAAAACAAATTAAGAGAATGTAGAAATATCCTTCATGTGTAGAAAGGATTTCAGGCAATCCTTAAAATCGTCTAAAGATTCAGTTTTTCTTAAATGTAGAGGCACAGAGTTCCATGACTTTACTCTTCTAAAGAAGTAAGAAAATTTTAAAACATTAGTTCTTGCATATCTAATTTTAAACTGGTAATTAGTTTGTCTGAGGTTATATTTACGTGTGGAACTGTCAGCAGACACAAGATAGTAAGACAGATCCAAATCATGTAGGCCCATCATGCATTTAAAAAGGAAAAGTAAGTCCATAAAGAGCCTCCTTGAGGCCAAGGAAAGAAAATTCAGTTCCTGAAGTCTGAAGGCCTGTCCTTTATGATCAGTTTAGTGGCTCTTCGCTGAACTCTTTCAATTAAGTCAATCAAAAACTGCTGATGTGGCGACCAGACCTGGGAGGCAAATTCAGCGTGTGGTCTGACTAAATGAATGTATAGTTTGAGCAGTACATGGCGTTTGGTACAAGTACCACAAGTTCTCTTGATCAAACGAAGGACTTTATTAGCGGTGTTACTTTGGCCATGATATGGTTATCCCAGGATAGATTGTGACTTATCAACACTCCTAAGTCTTTTTCTTCTGATGACAATGGGATACGTTCGGTTCCAAGGCTGTAAGAGATTTCCTATCTCTTTCTTTTGTTCGTGATGTAGAGATGTTTACATTTCTTAGTGTTATCGTGAAAAACAGTACTGAAAGCGGCAATTGTTTAAAACTCAAGAAAGAAACATGCTCATGCAGTTACTAAGCTACATGAATTGCCAGCATAATCCCTAACCCCTTTGAATGACGTCACACTGGTCCCCGTGCAGCAGCGCGATAGCCCATATAAATAATATTTTTATGTTCCTGCGGAGTTCATCATCAGGATTATTGAGCTCAGTCTCTTTGACCTCTTGGAAATTGCCTCCCCCGTCCTCCTACCTCCTTTTTCGGCTCTTATGTTAAGTATCCTGTGGATATATCAGAGTTTGAGTTCAGTCTCGTCTATTTTTTGTTCGTTATTTATGGCTACTTCTAAGCTGACAGACCAATAAAGATACTTTTCATGTTTTCTTTAGAAAAGTGTCCATACGGTTGGCTTGCTTTTAGCAACGCTTGCTATCAAGTGAATAAAGAAGCAAAAGACTTAAAGGCTGCAACCGAGTCTTGTCTCGATAAAGGAGCTGGAATCCTCACGCTATGGAACGCGGAGGAAGAAAATCTTTTGCGAGCAGAGTTATTCAAGATGCAATTGCACAATGTGTTTTATTGGCTAGGTGAGGCTATTTTTCTCTGAATCTAGGGTAGACTAATCTAGGGTTGCTTGCCATGAACACAAATCACTTGGGTGGAAATCGTGTGCATAAAACTATATATAATTTCTTTAAAAACAGCAAAATAAGCAATATACAGAGAAAAGGAAAAGCGTAAGAAGCGTGCAAATGAAGTGCTTATTGCATACAAGCAGAAGTTGTTCTTTGTCTTCTCAATGTATGATAATTATCCTTAGGCATAACTTTTGACTGAAATATTTCTACGTGCATCAATCGATGATGCAACTGTTCTTTGATTGCTATAAGCAAATTGAGGCTAAGGGGAGCGTACACACAAAGGGCTGTTACGATTCCCATTGCGTATTGTCAATAAGTTTTAGTTACATGAGTTTGCATCATGATTTTCAAACCTCATTTAACACGTATGTTAAAAAGTGGCTATCTGCAACAAGATCCTCGCGTTAGAATTGTTTATTGCACGATAACAGCCGCAATATAACCTAGAGACGTTCTTAATCACTTATATAAATAAGGTAAACTGTTTTTTTTTTAAATCAGGAGCGAAGTATAGCCCGAGTAAGGGCAGTTTTTTATGGCCTGATGGTAAAGCAGTTGTCTACAATTCGTGGAATCCTGGAGAGCCCCGATTTGGATTAGATTGCTCGTTAATGATCAACAGAAAAGGCTGGGGAACAGAAAGGTGTGACATGGAACGAAATTACATTTGCAAAAAAGGTGCGTCAATTACAAGATAATATCGCCTTATTTGAGTATTATAACATGTGGATTTTAATTTCTAGACAGTTTACTGCTTTTAGTTTGTATTTATAGACAAATCTTTTATTTTTGCGATACAGAACTAAAAAGCTACAAAAGGAATAAGGTCGAGGCAAACAGGGAAAGTCACGACTACAAGTGGCATACAAAGGATTGGAACGAGTGCACAAAGTCTTGTGGTGGGGGCCAGAGGAATAGAGAAACATTCTGCGCTGATGAACAGAAGAATAAAGTAGACGAGTCTCTCTGTAAAGGTATAGGTAAATAATTTTACAGACTTTCGTAGGTTCATCATGAGGGCTGTACTCTAGCAGAGCCCGGTGTCCCCTGGCGCCTAAATTTTGCCCTCGGGCGACTAGAAAATCTCAAAGTTTTCATCGCAATCATATGCTGGGCACCCTAGATTCTACTGTTTCAGAGCACTGGGCTCCCTTCAATTTTCCTTAGAGCACAGCGTTGATCATAATTGAAGAATGGAAAAGGTAATAAGGTACATGTACTTCAGTTTTCGGCCGACGTCAACACACAGAGAACCGGACGATCATATTCCAATTACTTGTAATAATTATCCAAAGTGCAAAAAAAAAAAAATACAAAAGAAACAAAACCAATATCTTACATGCATTACTCAAAAAAAAACAAAAACAATTAACTGGCTTCATACCACTTATTCCGTCATATCCTACCAAAAAAAACTTTGCTACAAAAGAGAAAGTATGTACCCTTTAATCACCTACACCTTGTTTTATTGTATAGATTCCCCACCCTCAGCCTGGCAAAACTGTAATGTGGAAGCATGTCCCTCTCAGTACAAATGGCACGTGGGAGACTGGGGAAAGTGTAGTAAGACTTGTGGAGGAGGATTAAAACGAAGGACAAAAAAATGTGCTGGAAAAGATATGATATCAACTTCATGGAAGTTGTGCAAGGGACATGAACCAGTTACTAAAATGAAGTAAGAAATGAATTATACATTTTGAAAAAAAAATAGAGGAATATGCAAATAATTTTCTAGGCCTGTGATAATTAGCATTGCGGTTGGATTAATTCTGCAACTGTTACATACACCTGTTTGTAGTTAAAACCAATTGAAAAGTATTTGTTAAGTTTTCATGCTGTTACATACAGATAGGAGGATCCAGGAAATTACTCATGAGGCCTGTATTGTCCCCATTAGCTGTAAATCGTAAGGTATCGACACTTGAAGGGCTCTGTCTCGAGGATATTTAACGATTATTTCTCAAGCCCGAATGGGCTCTGAGTCAATAGCCCTTGGGGCCGAAGGACTCATGTGCTATTGCTTCAGAGGCCATGAGGGCGAGAGGAATAATTGTTTTAGTAAAATCCCACTAGTTGGTCGAAAATATCGAAAATAAAAAAAGATTAGCTACTTAAGGTGACTCGACTCAGTATTTTTGCGGGGCTACCATCCTACTTTGAAGCTCTCTGGTATCCCCACCTTTACTTTTATCGTAAGTCTAACACATAGAATGGATAACATATAGATCAATCTACAATATAACATAAAATTTTTGGCGATCGGAGTAAATGGCACGTAGTTATAATGCCACGTCCCTTTGAGGTCTGAGTCGAAAATCTGCTGTTGCCGGCATTTTTTCGTGAAAATCTCTCGGCTACACATAGTGCGCATTAGTGCCTTGCGCTGAACAGAGTTTCACCAAAATCGCAAAGACCCAATTCGAGAAATTCAGCGGTTTCCAAATTTAGGTCATAATTTATGCGAAAATGATAAGCAAACTTTCCACGGATTATATCAAATAAACTATGGAATTCATCTCTTTATTTTGGGCATCGTTATAACAGATGGGTCCTTGCAAGTCAGCAAAACAATTTAGGGCCTTGTAAATGCGCGCGATTTCGAGCAAAGCAAACATATAGAAATTATAGTTTTCGCTATTTGTTGTTCACTTCTAGTGGGCTATAACATATAGCCTAGTAGTTGCTCAACCAATCCGAACGCAGCATTGATAATAGACCACTAGTTGGATATTACTAATGCTGTTTTAGCTCAATTCTGTGCTGAAGTCATTACTTAGTGCCTTTACCCATAAAAATGACCCGTTAGAGATATGAAGCAGATTTCAAACAAGTTTCAGCAGGGGACACTAACCATATTAATAGCAGGGAATGCATTTAAACTTGAAAAAGTTGGCCCAGCTTTTTCAATTTTCAATCCATGTCCATCCTTGCCACCTGTTGCAACAGACGACAGGGAACAATTTCAATGCCTAAACATAGTCTTAAATGACAAAACTGAACCATTATTTTTGGAATTCAATTGGTGTGAAGACAAGTTTTAGCTTTTTAAAAAGACAGCAAATGGTGTGACATAGCACCTTTAAATAGAGTCTTTTTCGTTCCATGCCTTTAGAACGTCAGTTGATTTGTTTCTGCTAGCCATACACGCAGTTCCTAAAAACAGTCTTCGTTCAGATCTCTTAGGCCTAGTTTAAACGTCAATCTTTTCATGTACCGAACCTAATATCCATTTAATAGGTCGACCCAAATGATAACAGTTCGACGGATGATTCAGACGTCGAGCTTATTTAGTCGGACTAAATTCATTTTCACGATGTTCAGTGGTCTAAAATGCTTACAACTGAAAATAAATTTTAGTAATTTATACATTAAGTTCGACACATGAGAAGTTCAACGTTTGAAACGAAGTCGCTCCACAGTCGAAATTCCCATGTGGGCCACTCCATCTTAAAACATGGGTCGACCCAAATTAGATATGTCGAACTTAATTAATTCAAACGTCGATCTTTCCATGTACTTAATTGAAGGGATTAGGTTCGGTACATGAATAGCTCGATGTTTGAACTGGGCCTTCAACTAGCATCAAGTTGTAAATACCAGTCGTATTTCACATCGCTCAATGGAACTATGCTTGCTGATAGCTAATACTTGTAATGAATAATAATTTCGTACGTAGGTGCAATACTGGACCTTGCCCAGTCAAAAAGCTGAGAGTTTCATCTTCTCCTGTTTGGAAGGTGAGTTTCCTGTACGCATGAATCTATTCGTTGTCTGCTTTACATACAAGCCTTTTTATTAAAATGTCAGTGCTTTAATTTCAGAAAGTAAGAACGGCGTTGTCTCGAATAAAACCGGCTCTTTTAGTTTTTTGCGAATTGAACGTTAATTCTGGCTATACTTCAAAAGAGCTATAAAAACTTCGAATCGCCATTATTTCTTTTTATTTCGGACCAATGTTAAGTTAATTAAGGTAACAGAGAATGTATCAACGTTGTAGCTTTTAAAATGATCCATTTGACAATTATTTTGATCAACTTTTGGTTCGCTCCAGGTTAGCCCGTGGAGTAAATGTTCCAAAACATGTGGACATGGACATCAAATAAGGGGAGTTCATTGCATGCGAAGCAACAATAAGCCATTGAGCTCATCGTCGTGTGCTGGACAAACCAAACCTGTTGCTGTTCGAAGATGTTTTTTGAAAGACTGCACTCTACGAAGAGGTTTGAGTTGTTCATCGTCTTGATCAACATCATCATCGTCATCATCATCGTCATCTTGAGCCATCGTCATCATGATTTTTATCCAGAATAATGATTATGGTTATGATTTTGCTAATGATAATGATGATAATAGATGAAATGATATGTGTGAAGAGAAGAACACAGAAAAAAATTATGAGTCATGATGATGATGACGATCATAAAGATGATGATGATGTGTTGATAATGATGATGATTGTCATTTACTTTCGCTCCCTTTTTTCCCACAAATGCGATTTTTTGCAGTTACGTCCCATTGTACTTTTTTTTCATGAGAAAAGATAGTACTGTTATCTATATTGAAGGAGATGAAGGCCTGTCTCGATCGCAAAATGATAAAACCTCTGATATTTGATAACTCGTTTCCGCCATTACGACATTCTCGCTAAAAATCGTAGTAGAATGACTACGGCTACCAAGTTTTCCCGCCAAAATGACGCTGATTCACGCGTGCGCACTACTGTCTTAGTAGTGAGGAAATCTCGTCCTCGTAGTCGTACTCGTCATAGAATCTTAAGGTCTCTAATATAATAATATAAAGGGTCAGCGACCTGCGAGAGTTAATTGGAGAGAGTTAATTGGTACTGAAAAAGATAATCTGTACAGGTAAAAGAGATGGCCTTTCTTCTGGCTCGAATACTCGTGAATTATTGATACTGTATATTGTCAAATTGCTTTATGTTGTATGCAGTCCGAGAATTTGTATCATCTCTAAAATAATAAACTGTCTTTTTTATTCTTTTGTTCTTCGATGAGATGGCAATGAGCATGAGCTGTTTTTTCTAATCCCGTACCTTAAAGCTTACAAAATGTTGACCACCTTAATGTTTGGTATTTTTTTAGTTCATAGATGTTCTGATAATCACGTGATGTGTAAGATTTGGACTAGACAAGGAAGCTGCAGAACGTCCAAGTGGGTTCGTTCTAAGTGTCCACGTGGATGCAAGACTTGCTAAGTAGAAAGTTAGTACATGTAACGGCTAGTATAGTTCTTCTTAACACCGTTGCCACACTTGGCTTAGATCGATCGCAGTGGGCACATTGCTAATCAATACTATCAGTTGGCATTGTTTTGTGCTTCACTGCATGGTGATATCGAGATTTAATAGATGCACTAATCATGCGTGCGACGTTTTGCCACACTTAACATAGCATGAAAAAATAATGTTGGTGTATAAAAAGAGTTAGCGATTACAGGGAAACGGAATGTCATGGGTCAGTTAACTTCGCCTCTATCTCGGCTCACTGGGAAGATGTTTTGCATTTTGTTGCATTATTTTCAGTTTGAGTTCAATAATGGCTGGAGGCGATTACATATAGGGCCTCTTTTATTTTACCTACGTTATCACGTTATTTATTGTTGCATTGCAAAATGCAATAGAACAATATTGCAAGGTGATGAAGTCGTCACTCCCCATAAAGTACGGTATGCTCAGACAGGTTCGTAAATTATTATTTCTGCGTCTGATTTCCTATATCTTGCGCGGAAGAATCTGCCTTTATGTGTTGTAGACCACGGCCACTCAGATCTTTTGAGCCTTACCTTTTTCAGCATAAAATATTTTAATACATTCAGGTAAAAAATGAAATAAAATCATCCAAAAAATACTTTTAATGAAATAGTAATAGTAATCGCCTTAATAATGATCTCTTTTTTTTTGTAAGAAGCAAATAGCATATAAAATGAATATAATAAGAAAGAAAACAGAGCATATGTTATAATGCTATAAAAACCTCAATAAAAGTAACTGAATAATTTACTTAACGCGCCCGTAAGTGTTGTCTTTAAAGGGAATAATTACACAGAACTTCGAAGAGAATGGAAAACTTTTTTTTTATTTATTTTCTTTCGTTTTTTACTTTCTTGAATCCTCTTTAGACCCATCAGAATAATATACTTACATTGCCCTAAATCTGGTATTTTGTTATTGACGTCATGCATTACGTGTAGAGGGATGCTACTCCCTATTAACTTTCTTAAATGACTCCCCCCAGCCCCGCGTGTAACAATAAGCGCCTCAGGGGCAATGGCAAAACCCTCCTTTACCAATCCGGTGACTAATGTAAAATATGAATGAAAAAAATAATGTTAATCTTTGCCTCTTCAACCGTTAATCCGAATCAACCTGGGGATGAACTTCATTTACCTTTCTTTAGTTAAGTATATGACCGTAAGACACAATGACTGAAGAGCTGTTATTTTTTCATTCGTTACTCCCCTTGAAAGACGTTTGAATTGAAGAAGTCATGGCTATTCAACCTTGTACAATAAGGTTCTTCTGTCATAACCTAAGTCAACATGTTTGCAAGAGAAGAGCCTCTAACAATGCCGTTTCTGTTTAACCGCCTTGCCCTGCTTTCCATGTTCCGCCAGGAAAGTCTATATCGAAGCAATTATTTTTGTTGAATTGCTCTGAGTGTTTAGACTGAGGTTGAGGCATTATCACCAGACCCAGTCCACTCCCCAGTGGATGCCGAACTGCCAGAAACGCACGAGGAACTCGGGGGGCTGGGCGTACTTGACACGAAATCTGACACGCCGTCGTCAAGCTGGCAGGGATACATGATCCACACGACTTCGGACGAAGGAAGTCCAAAGTCCTTCCTGGTTTTCTTGTCCTGCCTTGTATGACTGCTGTTATTTGTTGTATTAGATGTGCGCTTATTTCCTTTATCCGCATCTTTACAGTCCGTAACTGTTTTTACGATAAAGTGAAGTCGAGGGTCGTCGCTATAAGCCACTTTCACAGCACTCACTTTTCCGTGTTCATCTATCGACAAGTACCATCCTTTACCATCGGTGTCTGAATGACATGTGCGGAAAATGTTGTAAAAGTTCTTACCAAAAAACTCACGGAATACACATTCTTTCCTTTCAGCGTCCTTGGGATGTAAATCAAACATAATATGTTAAGTAAGACTAGTTTTCACTATGGAATCGTAAGTTGAGTCGTACGAGTGCTTATGACCTTGTGAATATCAAAAATCGTAATAAGCTGAGTCATAAGCGAGATGGAATCAGAGTCGGAAGAATTGGAGCGTTTCCCTTTTCTTCAGACTCCACTTCTGACTCTGTCGTTTACGATTCATTGAAAACCAGATTGTCGGAGTCGAAAGCAGAAGAGGAAGGATAAACCAATCACAATGCACGTTCCCGGCGTACGCGTTGTGATTGGCTTAGTTCTTCCGCTTCTGCTTGCGACTCCGACAACCTAGTTTTCACTTGATCATAAACGAAGGATTCGTAAGCGGAATCAGAACGCTGTTTTCTTTAGACCGTAAAATTCCACGCTTGTGATTACAACTAAGACTCCGACTCCGTCGCTAGTGAAAACCAGCTTTTAACAAGATATATTAAATTGATGTCATGGTTTGAACTGATGGTTCAGTAATTAATGATTCTGAAATGTTGCTCATATTTCTAGAGGCTGAATATGAGCTCAAATCTGTGCCGGACAAATCCCTTTTCAGGATCAAAAGTTAATGAAAGCGCGATCTTTATGATAACACAGCGTCTCGTCGTGAACTTATGTTCAAGGAAGGATGTTATTTTTTTCATGTATTAAATTATGTGGAAGTGGGTATTGACGAACTGAATTCGTTCGATGAGGTCGGACGCGCGTAAGTTGGCTCGTAAGTGGCACAGTATGTAAGTGTAACTTTATTTTATCTCTTTTGTTTGGTACCATATATCTTGTTCTAACTACCCGCTTCGAAAAGCAGCTGCTACTTGCGGGTAGATACTTTTCCTCTTCTAACTGAAGCTATAATAAAGTTATTCATGCCATATAGGGCAGGCTTAAGGGTCTTCAAAGATAACCTATCAAAGTTGAAGAAGGAAATAATTTGTCCTGTACTCAGGACCCCCAGAGTTGGGGAAATACACAAACTGAAAAGGCGAGGGATAATATCCCATTTTACAGATACATGAGAAAACTAGGATGGAGTTGACCTTTTTTGATACAACCCCTCCTGCTTCCTGCTTTATTATGTAAATCATGTTGTTCTTATAATAAATAGTATTTTTCCAGCAAAATTTCTATAAGAAAAGGAAAGAGGCTTGTATGAAAACAAGGTCAACCTCAGCCTCGTGTCCAGTCAAAGGCTAGGGCACTAAGCCCACAACTGTAAAATGGTCTATTCGATTCTATTAAAATATAAACTCAATAATCTCACCGTAGTAAATATTTTTCCTTCGCTGTCTACTGCTAAGTATTTTTTGGCCTCAAGTCCCCTGATTGCAATGAGATCTGGACCAACAGAAAGAAACTGTAAGACGGCTGAAATGTAAGAATGGGTATCAAAGTAAACTATTTTGTGTTCACAAACACCATTTGCGTAGTTAAATAAACAGCAAAAAATATGGTTACATTCCTTTTTTTGGATCTGGGAGGATATATATCTCTAACCTAAACAAGGGCAAAGTAGATCCCCAAGTAATCAACATCAACCGAAAGCCACATAACATGTGAAATAAATTTGCAAATCTATATTACTGAATTCGTAAGGGTCTCTCCCATGTCTGATTGCAAGAGTCAAGATTTTGGGCTTTTATACAAAGTTAAGTTGGCTCTAAATTTACATGCTCTTGCTTTTATCACACGGTATTTTTAGCAAGCTCGTATAATTATTGTTAAAGACGTTAAATCGGAGAGCATCTTCAGCGTTGTTGAAACTCTGAGAGATTGAAAACTCTAGAGACTGAAAAACGCCTGCCTAATTTGTTTTGATTTTTTGCTGTTGACGCCAAAGAGAAACTGAAGACTATGGGCAGTTGAAATATTAAAATCATACACCTTTTTTCGTTTTGGAAATATTTTAATCGGTACCGACTGTGGTTGTAGATGTGGTAACATGCCTAAAAAAGCGACGACACGACTAGGCTTAATCAACGTTTTAAAAAGAAAATGCAATATTTGTTACCAAAAATATCTTAGAAACACTATAAACAATATGGAACGTAATTATGCAAGTCCCAAATTTCCTGTTTTCTTACCGTATAAACAACTGCCGTCGCTTGTTCCCGTGACCTCTCCCGTCGAATTTATAGCGAGGTAAAATCCATTTTTGGCGAATAATTGTCGCTTCCTTGTGTACTTTTGAAGAGAAGGGAACGCGAGTGGTGATTTAGACCCCGCCATGCTAGATGTATTACGGATCAGCCGCCATTATGACCTTCGGCGAAGATTCGGAAAGGAATCCATCATAAACCAAAAGATAAAATAACGATAATTTGATGCATCCCAATTGCTTCTCCTTCAGCAGCTAGCCAATGAAACTTCAAAGGAGCTGGTTATCTTCTACGGAAGGGAAACTTTAATTGTTAATGCGTGATGAGGTAAACCGCTTTTGTTTGAATCGTAGCAGGACTGTCAACGTTAAAACACTTTAACTAATATTGGAAAAGGACACCTGCTCAATACACAGTTACTACGTAACTCAGCCAAATTTGAATAATTTACTTGTATGAGTACTGTAGAGGAACCTTTTATGTGAATATTAAAAATCGCAGTGTACAGATGAATAATTCGAAAAGGTGTTTATTTTTCATTATCGTTTTTTGGCTGTTTGCCGTTGTTTCTTGAGGTTAGCAGACGAATAACTGTTTTGCACATCAACAGCAAGGGATGTATATATTTTAGTATACATTTTAAACAAAACAAAGGTTGCATCAAATAAAAAAGGAAGAATTTTCATCCAACGATACCTCTTAAAACCTAGCATTAGGGTAACATTATATAAGCGAAGTGGAAGTGAAGAATATAGAAATAAATCTTTGACAAAGAATTGAATGATGAGCATCAATTTGTATTCTAAAATTTCCAGTTAGCCACGTTTTTCCTGACTACTTTTTAATTTTTGTTTGCTTGTTTGTTTTGTTTTGTTTTAACTTTAGTGATCAAAGCTTCATGAATCGCTCGTGTCTGATCTAAACGTGAACTCCATTGTGCAATTTCCTATACCTGAACTATAAATTCCGCTAATATATACTTAATTACAAATTTTTGGATTTATATAACACTTCCTATTAACTCTATCTTATAAACCATTTTCTATGCCTGACTGTTTATGCTCTATAACGAATTGTATTTTTTAGTCCATTGCACAAAATGATTTTACATATTAAGCCTTATTATGACCTACGTTCTATTTCAATCATGCGGAAAGTCTAAAATGTATACACCTATCTCAGTAAAGGTTGCTTTGCGAATCGTGCTTTGGTCTTTGAAAGCCATTGTTTAGTGGTCACTCAAGCAAAGCATTGCATTGTATTCTGTGCTTGAATGTCCAAATCCCAAAACAACCTTTATTGAAATAGGTGTATATTTTTCTTGTGTTACAATGCCCTTGCATATGAAATCTTGGCGCGGATAAAGTAGAGACCCTTCCGGGACCAGTTGACCTGGACCAGGTAAAAGGAAAATCCACCGACACCACTTGAAGGAGCGCCTTAATATTTGTATACTTGCCAATTTTGAAAGGAATACGTCGTAAGTGAGCGAAGATGTAGCCTCGGCAAGTTTGTGAAAATTTGTTCCCCTCGCCATTTGCAAACGTCCAACCTCGTCCCCAGGGCGCTTTTCGCTGGCTTTGGAGGTGGGCAAAAGCCAGAGAAAAGCGCCCTGGGGACGAGGTTGGCAAACGTCAGTAAAATTTCGAAACTTTGAAGAACGATATCTTCGTTTATAAGCTTTCAGCAAATCAGTTTCCAGCGGAGTTGACGGATTTTCCGTAACTTGTCTATGTCAAAAGTTAAAAAAAAAAAAAAAAGCGTGGACAGGTCTGTTAACGTATTGAGGACCGCTCTCTACAAGCAAAGTCAGTGTCCAAATGTTCTTGAACGTCGCTATTTTCTTTTATTAACAAGAATCGCGGGAACTACAGCCAATTAAAGCAGAAAAGGGAAGAAGATAAGAAAATATTCAGTCGATATATGATATATAATCTCGCAGTGTAAATGTTATGGAATATTTCGTTGCAGGATCTGTGACGTCAGTCAACATGGCAGCTGGAAAAATATCGGGATTCTCCATGTTTTTATATAGTTTTATTTTATTGTTACTTTTTTAGACATGAAAAAAAGTCATTTTCTCCTTGGACAAGTGATAATTTTTTTTCATATACAATTATTTATCCAATTAAAGCAATCTGCATGCATGCAAGCATCTTTTATTTAATTTCGACACACGTTTTGTAGGATTATGTGCTAACTTTATATTTCATTATGCGAATTCTTCTAGTAAAGTAACCTTTAAGGTTCTTGAGGGGTACCTACAAAAGAACAAATTATAGAGTGATACAGAACGAGCCATCTAAGTGCTAAGGTCTACAAAAATGTCCTAATAAGCTAAACGGATCAAAGTCGTTACGTCACGTTGCCATGGTAGCAAAATTCCTAGACCTCAACAAACCGTGGTCTTGCCTTTATGGCGAAAAAAAAAACACGAAAATATCGACATGTATGACCTGTACATGATTGCACACTGGAGCAAAGCGGTAGCACATTCTTTTCTTCCGTCTCTGTCAAAAAAGATTGTTGAGATCCAGAACGTTTGCTACCATGGTAATGTGACATCACACTTCTCTCTAGTTAACGTAACACTGAAATAAATCAAGGTGAAGCTTCTGCTATGTCAACTGACACTTAAGCGCGGTTTTAAGTTTAGTGTTGTAAAACCGAAAACAACGTTTTATCTATTTCTAAAAAAAAATCTAAAACTAAAAGAAAAAAACATTTAAAAAATACAAACTAAATGCAAACAGTCAAAAACATGAAAATTTGCAAGCAGTGAGAATATGGCTTCACAATTATGAGAGAATTTTTAAAGTTTTATGCCAGATTGAATAGAAATACTGACGTACTTTGATCGATACCATTTTTGGAAATGCAAGGCTTAAAGCAATATAAATGATAACTATAATCGATCTCTTGAGAAGATGAGTAAAGGTAAAATACATTGTGTAGACTGGGAAGTTACGATAATTTTGTGAAGTTGTTTTTTTAGATCTGCGCGCGTGAGATTTTTAGATCCTCGCGCGCTGTTTTAATGATGCCTTTCTAAATCTGCCTAATAAGGTGGTAACGGGTAAATTCCAAGAAGATTTAGCAAAAAGAGAAATGAAAAGAAAACAAGAATCGCAAGGTCAAATGAACGCGTAACTAAGCGCGACTTCCGGTGCTTAAATGCCGTTCTGCCATCGGTTAAGCCGGTTTTTAGATCTAAGCGCCATCGTTGTTGCGTGTCTTTTCTAAATATCCCTGTTGTTATCATATACACAGTCGCAATCGCAAAGTTTTGTATTTATAAACCTAAAATAACTGATGCCTCTAAGGCGCTTAGATTCTTCGTTTAACTTTCAAGTTTGAGGTCATGTGACGATACTTGACCCTGCCCCGTCGAAGCGTCACTTGTAAGCACATTTTCTACATCGGGTTAAATAGTTTTTCGTTCAATCAGAAAATTAGGGTGTTTAAACAAGACGGAGGTTGAGGTATCAAAAGGTCGTTTATTCCATTCCTTGGTTACTAATGCCTTTTTCCTCCACCAAAACAATGTTTTCTTCCTTCGAATCTGTTGGTTTCAATTCATATCGCTCTCGTCTCGAGCCGCTCGGTTCATCAGGCATGGCATCCCCAATACGACTGTCGCTACCACCTGGAGTAGAGCGTTTACAGTGGAAAACGACCAAGATTATGATGACGGCAATTACCAAAACAGCACCGCACGCAACCCCAATAATTAACGGCAGATTGGACAACTTGGTGGACCCTTCATCCTTATTGCCACCTGTGTAAGACAATAATAATTTAGTGGAATACAAACTTCATTCATCCGAAAATATGCAATTGGAGGTAGTTTTTTTAGTTTTTTTTTTTTACAATGATATAATCTGACCCGACTAATAAATTTTCCTGGCATCACTTTCTGTGATTCTCTAAAACGAAACTGTCGAAGCAATGAATCTTAAATTTCTCCAATGATTTAAAACAAAGTGATTGCGTATGAAATAGGTTTTATATCTCAAAGGCAGTCCGTGACTACATGTAAATAAAAATGAAATACCATCTCACAAAATACTCTGACTCGAAGATCTAATTGACCACTCCAGAAAATACCGTAACATACCATAATGCTCTTTTTTTGTCACCCCAAAATGTTGCATAAGCATTGTCTTCAGTTTCTCTTGGGAGTTAAAATGGCCCCGAGAGAAACTGAAAACAATGCTTATGAAAAATTTTGGGCTGACAAACAAAGAGCATTATGGTATGTTATGGTATTTTCTGGAGTGGTCAATCAATGCTGATGGTCAGAGGAATGATCGCGGTGTCTGCAGTCCTGATGAATATCTAACGTTCTCTTCAGTTCACTACAAACGAATCACTTTAGAAAGCTGGTTTACTAACTAAGAAAAACGTGGATGAATTGTTGGGAAACGTTTAGAGTCCTCATAGCCAATAGTAAATTGATACAGCGAGCGACGACCTAATTGACCAATCATGTCAATTATCATGCAGAGTCTAACACTATCGACAGATGTTACAACTCACTTTGACTGTGTTGACGACCTCTGTAGAAATGTCGACACTAGAAGAGCCATACTCAACGCCCATATATATTCAATGTACTTATGCCACGTATCCAGGGTTCAACCCATTTACCTTGATTGTTGTCTTTAAGTTTTAAAGAGTTTGAGTCCACCTCTAAGCTCCCTAATTTTCCATCGGCTGTTTCTTGCTTTAGTGGGGCCATGGCTTCTTTGGCAGTTAGACGTGTTTTGAATGTCAGTTTAAATTCAACTATAATACTGCCTTTCCTAAGGAATTTAAAATCACCATCACAAAGAATTAAGGCCTCGGCCTCATGTATCCAGGATATTCTTGAAAAAGAAGATTTTCCGTTTCTCCGCTTTCAAAGACAATACACGTCCACATGAAGCGTGTAGTATTTGAATCGATTTCGCACGTCCACGTGAAAACGCGTAAAAACGATGGAAACGATAGCATCCCTTACAGAGCATGCGTAATGCTAGTAGTAAATGACTGATGTATGACATCTTCATATTGAAAAACCTCCCGTTTTCGTTCGTCCACACACAGCAGGAAGCTGGGTGGGGAACCTACAGTATGGTGGCCGAAAACGCCGTTTACATGCGGACGAAAAGAAAATCTCCGTTTTTTAAAAAATATCCGGTAGGTTTTGAAGGGGCCTCAGTATTTCGCTGAACAGAGAGTTTTTTTTAAACGTTCTGCTCGTTTTTGCCTTCAAAACTTCAACAAAACAGCAAGTGTGACAGACATGTTATCTGATCTGAAATGGGACACATTAGAAACAAGGCGAAAGAAAAACAGATTGACTTTAATGTACAAACTTAGTCATAGTCTAGTAGACATAAACACAGAAGAACACTTAATACCAAACAGTGAATTAAGAACACGCAACAGCCATGCTTTTAAGTATAGAATGCTAAAAGTTTCTAAGGACGTCTTTAAGTTTTCCTTTTTTCCTAGATCAAAAACAGAGTGGAACTCACTGCCCGCTGACTTAGTAAATTGCAAGTCATTATCTGATTTTAAGTTAAATTTAGGAAAGCACGTGAAATAAGTGAAGCAAATTATAATTTTGAATTATCATCTATTTATTTTTTTATTTGACATATTTACTTTTATTCAACTTATGCATATGTTACACATATGTATATATATATATTTTATTTTAGCTTTCATTACAGTTGATGTGATGTCTTACAAGGTTTCATCAACTTAATAAATGTAGATGTAGATGTTCTTTTTTATTTTTTCTTGTTAAAATGTGTAATCAACAGGTGGCGATTGAAGTTCAGGAAAAGTCTCACTTGCGTTTAGGTGAGAGAAAGTATTAGAATTTAAATACAAGCAAAATGACTGCCTAATTTTTGGCGGTTGGCCTGACATTTTACTTATTTCACATCTGCATTAAATAAAGAAATTTCGCCTCAAAATTGAGGATTAATTTGTCATATATTAATAATAATAATTTTCATAAAAAAAATATTGTCAATAGTGGTGATGATGAAGCTTCTAATAATCTCAAGAATAATAATTTCAGCATTTAAATACACATTACCTGAAAGAAATTATCTCAACATTTTGCAGTTCAGAATTTCCAGAATATGCCTTTAAAATCTGCAATGTCGATGGAAGAATGCATTAGACTAAAAATGAGAAATTTAGAGTTCTCTCCTGTACTTACGAACAAAAGATCCCAAATAGGAATCAAAATTGGGATTACGTTGGTAACGTCAAGCGACATTTTCTCGTTGCTTCACTTAGTCCACCATAGTGCTTTCTCGTCACTAGCGGGGCCAGCAGCCATGAAAATTTATTGCGTTTGCATACGAAAAGAGTTTAAAAACTCCCACAGGACTAGTTCATGGTCGCCGTTTGATTGTTTTGGGACACCAACATGGCGACCGTGACTTCATGTGGAAAGAGGGCTCTATTTACTTAAATACGTGACTATGGAAGCGCGAGTGAAAGCATGATAGTGCGACCTACATGCAGGAATGTGCTGAACCATGCCAAATATGGGGGAACATGAAAAGGCCATCAAGAGCGGATTCGCAAGTGAGAGGCTTTGCCGACAAGAAAATAAAAGATGTTGTACGTCCTTGTTTAACTGTACCTGTTCTTTGAGCAATGTGGAAATTTTCTTATATTTCTCACTGTCTTTATCTTCTAATTGGTCGTCCCACTTCTCGTTAACACGAATTTCGAAAGTGAAATCTGGTTGAAAATAAAATATACATAGAAGTGAAGTAGATATTTCTGTCGTAATGGCAAATAAATGACAGCACTGCTGCTTTTAATAAAAACATGATAAAATACTTATAATAATAATAATAATAATAATAATAATGATAATAATGATGATGATGATGATGACGACTATGATAATAATAGATATAATTAATATTAATAATAATAAACTCTCTGACTTTTATAGAACCTCACCCCTCTTTCTAGCGATTCTCTGATGTTTAGACACATTTTTGGCAAGTTTGGTGACAATTGGTTGTCATGGTTACGAGATATGACATAAAAGTGGCACGAAGTTGATTCTGAAATTTTTTTTGTGCAAAAAAACACCACCATTTTAACACGGTAGTTTTGTGAATTTTCGTTTAAGTCAAGGAGTAAAATGCGTGGACTGATTGGTTTAATGCAAACATGTTTCTTATGATGTTATGGATGTCAATCGATCAACCTGTCTTCCGTTCATTGGAGACTTCATCGGTTGTTGGTTTTGCCGGCTCTGTGGTACTCTCTGAAGATGTAGTCGGCAGCTCTGAAATGAAATATACCATTCATTTACCGAAACACAATTATTGGAGTTGACTTCACCCAATAACTTGCAGCGGTCCTTATTATGCTAGCCCCAATACTGTTATTTGTTCTTCTATTCTGTTTATTTCTTTATTTCTTTTTGTCTTTTGTAAAGGGTGTTTGTTCATGGTAATCGCCCATCTGGGGTAATTATTTTTTTAAGAAACTAAAGCTCTTTCTCGCAGGAGGCTTTACAGTTTTATAGTGGGAAAGGTGGCAATAGTTCGTTTTTTTCGCCAAAGCGATTCTTTTGGGGGGGCAAAACTGTCGATACTACGAGGCAGATTATTGATATAATAATAATAATAATAATAATAATAATAATAATAATAATAATAATAATAATAATAATAATAATAATAATAATAATAATAATAAAAATATATAGAATTTATTGCAGTTACCAGCTTAACTGCAGCGAAAATTGAGGAACGTAACGAAAAATCAAATTCAATTCGCAGGCAGGAAAACTCGTGGCGACATCGATTAATATCTCGGGTATCCAGCGTCTTCTTTGGTCTGTTGTACGCTGTTGTTGTTCGCATAATTGTAGATGCCTTACGACCATGAAAAAGTGGAAACAAATTCTACCTCTCTCCTTCCATGATTTCTAGAAATAGACACTTTCTGCTTACCTGTATCACAAAATTCTCCAGTGTATCCATATGAACAAACACAAGTGAAGCTATTTATTTCATCTTCACAGGTACCGCCGTTGTTGCAAGTAACACTGATACAATCATCGATGTCTGAAAGCAAACCACACACAAAACTTTAGCGCAACTAAAGAATCTTGATTGGTTGAGTGAGAAACACTCCTTGTTAATGAAGTGAAAGCGCGGTATCATCTGGACGGGAAACAATCTTGAAGGTGACCAACTCGCCTTTAATAATGAAAACAAAGCGGCTGACCTTTTATATTTACATTTGTTCTGATTGACTGTAGTAGTATACTAGGGTCAAATTTAACCGTTTTGGTGTCTAGCAAGGTCTAGCTAGGTCTAGTCTATGACGTCACCGATTGTTATAACCTGGGGAAAAGTGGATTCCCTTTATTAGTATGTATAAGTGTCTTCCCGCATACTAATTTGGATTTCCTGCATACTAATTAAGTGTCTTCCTCCATATATAATGAAGTGGATAGGTTTACTAATGAGCGTCACTCTACTACAATAGGAGCAATAGGTTTGCCTAGACTTGCCCGCGCTCTTTTAACCCTGATTGGATAGTAAACAGTCTATTATGTGTTTAACATAAAAGCGCGCTTTCCCTTCAGTATTTCATTCTCGCAATCGCTTTACTAAGGAAAAAGTCTTACTATCACCAGTATTTTTTAAAACATTGCTCCAAACATGCAAGTCGAATCGAGCTGTAAACTTGTCTGACTATTACAGAACTGTTTTCTCCCATCTATCTCGAGGACATGAAAAACTATTGAAGTCTCAACGTTTCACGCACGGTTAGTCAGGTAATTATGCGAGTTCACAAGCCCAAAGTTGAATACAAATTTGCTCTACAGGAAAGACCCAAGGGAGCACCTTGACGTATTATTATAAAACAAATAACTTAACAAGGATCAATTAAAACATGCGACTAATAATTGCTAGCAATAAAATCTGACACGAGATACCGTTTAAAACAAAAAGAGTCAAATACACAACGATTTGAAAGAAATCTATTAAAACAGTCAAAGAAAGCAAGTCATGTTTTACTTACCCCTCTCCCTTTTCAATTTTATTTCCCTCCTCAATTTTTTCTTTTTCCCTTCTCCAAAATTTTATTATTTTCCCTCCTCAATGTTTTTATTCCCTCCTCCACAACTTTTATTATTTTCCCTCCTCAATGTTTTTTATTCTCCCCCTCCTCCTCCACCTCCTCCTCCTCATTTTTATTGTTTTCCCTCCTCCTCCTCCTCCTCCTCATTTTTTATCGTTTTCCCTCCTCCTCCTCCTCATTTTTTATTGTTTTCCCTTCTCCTCCTCCTCCTGATTTTTTTATTGTTTTCCCTCCTCCTCCTCCTCCTCATTTTTATTGTTTTCCCTCCTCCTCCTCATTTTTTATTGTTTTCCCTCCTCCTCCACCTCCTCCTCCTCGTTTTAATTGTTTTCCCTTCACCACCACCACCACCACCACCACCACATTTCTATTGTTTTCCCTCCACCAGGGAGAAAGGGAGAGGGGTAAGTAAAACATGACTTGCTTTCTTTGACTGTTTTAATAGATTTCTTTCAAATCGTTGTGTATTTGACTCTTTTTGTTTTAAACGGTATCTCGTGTCAGATTTTATTGCTAGCAATTATTAGTCGCGTGTTTTAATTGATCCTTGTTAAGTTATTTGTTTTATAATAATACGTCAAGGTGCTCCCTTGGGTCTTTCCTGTAGAGCAAATTTGTATTCAACTTTGGGCTTGTGAACTCGCATAATTACCTGATTAACCGTGCGTGAAACGTTGAGACTTCAATAGTTTTTCATGTCCTCGAGATAGATGGGAGAAAACAGTTCTGTAATAGTCAGACAAGTTTACAGCTCGATTCGACTTGCATGTTGGGAGCAATGTTTTAAAAAATATTGCTGATAGTAAGACTTTTTCCTTAGTAAAGCGATTGCGAGAATGAAATACTGAAGGGAAAGCGCGCTTTTATGTTAAACACATAATAGATTGTTTACTATCCAATCAGGGTTAAAAGAGCGCGGGCAAGTCTAGGCAAGCCTATTGTTTCTATTGTAGTAGAGTGACGCTCATTAGTAAACCTATCCACTTCATTATATATGGAGGAAGACACTTAATTAGTATGCAGGAAATCCAAATTAGTATACAGGAAGACACTTATACATATTAATAAAGGGAATCCACTTTTTCCCCAGGTTATAACAATCGGTGACGTCATAGACTAGACCTAGCTAGACCTTGCTAGACATCAAAACGGTTAAATTTGACCCTAGTATACTACTGACTGTTTTCGAATCTTCATGATACAATCTCTTTACCGCCCTCTCTTTTCACCAAGGAGTATTTGAAAACAACAATATCGGTCGTTGTCAGCTTTACATAATTTTGTGACTGAGCAGCTGATCAAACCTGTGTGAGAGGTTGTCTATAATCAATCGCTTAAAACAGAAAATGACTCATTGCTGTACATGTATTTGAAAAACTAAATTCACTTCATGAATTTTACAATTTATTTTGGCAATTGAAAGTAGTTAAAACTAAACATTTTACATTAAACTATCTCAGCTTTTTATACGTGACAGAACGGTGGAATTATTGGATTCTTTGTAAAATAAGTGTTAAAGGTGCTGAAGTGTTAGAAACTTTACCTTTCTCGCAATACATTCCAGTAAAACCTGGTGGGCAATTGCAAGTGTAGGAACTTACACCATCCTTGCAAGATCCACCGTTAGCACAGGCGTGATTAACACAATCGTCGATGTCTGTAAGTAAGATATTCACCAGAAAATTTAGTCTTTAAATTGGCGTAAGACAAGTCGGCAAGAAAGCCGGGATGGAGAAATGTACGAATGAAATTATCAAGGGATAGATATGTTGTTGAAGGGATGATTGTGTGGATAGATGCAAATACAACTTACATACAACGTGGAAACTTACTTATCTCACAACGACTTCCGTTAAAACCTTCTAAGCAATTGCATGAGTGGCTGTTGACAGCATCCGAGCACGAACCGTTATTGAAACATGGGTGGCTAGCACAATCATCGATATCTGTCAAAGGAATTCAGAAAAGTAAATTGCAATGTCCAGCTTAGACTGTGATTGTACATCTACAGTCGAACCTTTCGTATCGGAACAACCATAATTATGTTTTAAGATTTGGTGCAGGGGTAACTTCTCCTGTAGTTCTCCTTGATATGAGCAAAGCATTCGACAGTGTCAACCATGATATTCTGCTTAAAAAATTACAAGATATTGGCTTGTCACCCTCTGCCATCCTGTGGTTCAAGAGCTACTTGTCAAACAGGTACCAAGCTGTGCGTATAAATACTGCTCTTTCCGAACCCCTCCTAATGAGGTTCGGCGTTCCCCAAGGAAGCCTCCTCGGTCCGTTGCTCTTTACGGCTTACACCAATGACTTGCCATCAATCCCACAACACTGTTCCACGGACTGCTACGTTGATGACACGAAATTGCTTATGTCATTCCAAGTGCAGGACTGTGAACCGACTATGGCCGCGATGAACGATGATCTTATTAAACTACGTAACTGGTGTTTTAATAATAGGCTACTCCTGAACCCGGACAAGACTAAACTGATTGTATATGGAAGTCGGCAAATGATATCGAAACTTCAGGATTTTCGCCCTACCCTCTTGGGTAAAGAACTTTTACCCGTCGACTCTGTTAAGGACCTGGGTGTAGTGTTTGATGGTAAACTCTCATTCAACGACCACATAATTAAAACAGCATCATCTTGCATGTCTGCCCTAGGGCAAATTAGCCGAGTTAAACATATATTTAGAAAAGACATACTTGTTACAATAATTAATTCTCTCGTGTTTAGTAAGTTGTATTACTACTCGTTCGTTTGGTCGAATACTTCTGCCAGCAATATACGCAAACTACAAGGAGTACAGAATTTCACTGCTCGCATAGTTTCTGTGACAAGGAAGTTTGATCACGTATCTCCAGACCTGAAAGACCTGAGATGGATACCAGTTAAGTCCCACCTGTATCTAAGAGACGCCATCTTGGCCTTTTAATCTATGACAGGTCAGGTACCAAACTACCTCAGTTCAAATTTTATCCCCAGAGGGAATATCAGTGGTCGGACGACCAGATCATCTTCCCAACTTAATATACCGCTTTTTAAAACCAAGTCGGGACACAGATTTTTTTATTACAGAAGTGTAACATTGTGGAATGCGTTAAAACCCCATTTTAAATTAAGTGAATCTCGCATCATTTTCAAACGTAAAATGAAAGCCTTCCTTTTAAATCAATTTTTAATGTCATAAATTCTATATGCAAATAGCTTCTTAATAATTGTTCATTGACAATTCTTGAGTATTTTTTTTGTTTGCTTGTTTGCTTGTTTTTTTTTTTATTATTATCCGTACTATTAATATTTGTCTCTGAAAAGCCCCCATGGGGAGTTGACAATAAAATTTGTATTGTATTGTATTGTAACTTTTCACGTTACCAATAACAGGTCGAACATTTCCTTTACTGTACTCGATCTCAGTTCAAAAAAAAATCTCTACCAAAGAACAAATCTCCGACGGTGTCTCTTCAGTGGTTGTGAGCTGTAGTGTTGTCCAAGGTGCTGTTCGATCACACCATTTGTCACATGGTATGTTGGGAGGGTGAATCAAGGGAAAGTTTAAAATCCCCAACCATCACCTTCAAAAGTTGTCGCGGTCGATTTCGAAGGTGTGGTCGCTTATGAGAGGCTGACATTGGCCAGATTAAGTCTGAAAATTGCACCACCTTGTTTTCCATCCTACCTTTGCAGTTTTTCCCGTCCCCCGTGAAACCAGATGGGCAAGAACCACAGGAGATAGAGTTATTATTTTCCGTACAAGGTACACCGGGGAAACAAGTATCGTTGCTACAACTTGTAATAAGAACATCGCAGTGTCGCCCCGTAAAACCAGCATTGCAAATGCAGCTGTAATTGTTCACTCCATCAAGGCAAGTACCTGAGTTAAAACAGAGAAAAGGTTACAATTATTGTAGTCGCGAATGTTTTCGCCATTCAACATTCAACTAACAACTTCCATGAATGCATGTCTTGAGCCTCGGACGTTTAAGTCAGACATATAACCTTTTATTGCTGGTTTTCACATAACGTCACTAAAATTCAAACTACAAAACTATCGATCTTACCGAGATTTTACTTTCACGATGTATTAGAGAGCTGAAAACTAATTTTCATAAAAATTTGCGCATCAAAAGGGTTCTTGGTTTTGTGATAGATTACGCTTGAATTTCTAAGCTTTTGCGTAACACGGCATTTACTTGACGGCCAAAAGAGCTATTATGTAGTTTAAAAAATGACTTATTTCAGGGAATTTTCCTATCTAAACAGTTCATGTAATAGAAAAAGTATTGTTTATGAGTTCTTCGATGAATAAATTCACGCTTTTGTAACAAAACTCGGTAACAGATGTTTGTGTTGGTTTCTGTCCGCAATGTTGGTGCTCATCCGGATGAGCACCAGCATGGTGTCTCCATACAAATCTCTGTAAATTTGGGTAAACCGTTTCTTCGAATATCTCGTATACGAAATATTCCTCTGACCTAAATCTTGGCGAGGGTCTTTGCATATTTACCTCCTTTCATTTCCCAGATTCTGGACTTTATCTATTGGACGGTTTTGATTTTCATTTTGATCTATTTCGAATGGAATGGCATGACACTGAAAACCAGCAATAAAACAACTAAGATACTACGCGCTTTCTGATTGGTTAAAAACCTATGGTATTTGTTCCGGTAAACTCATAGTTTTACTTAAAGTTATTTTATAAAACCAATAGACCACACTTTCTCTGGTTTTACCGGCGTGATAACCCACTTGGGAGAACGCTCGAAAAGCTTGTAAATCACGAGCCAAAGGCGACAAAGACAAAAACAAGAATGGGTAATGGTGCTGTGAACAGGGCTAACGTCAAGTTTGGTTTTATCTTTTCCTTTCGCTGTGCTTCTTCCCCATTCCTCATTTTCCGTTCTCCTTTTTAGTAGCATCCATCTCGTGGTCTCGCAACATCCCGCATGGGTTATCACGCCGGTAAACCGATAGAGAGTGTGGTCTATTGCTTAAATATATATATTTTTTATAGCGGGTATTCTATAACGATCGAGACAGATATAGAGTCGGCAAATATTTCAAAACATTTGAATTCCTATACTGGCTGTACCTTTCGGGTCTGAACAATATTGGCAAAAGCAACGGGAGAGAGGAAAAGGGCTATATGAGAATTGTGTGTACGCCGAGTTTGACCTAGCTATAGTCAATCAACATTATCATCAGGATCTGATACCGATTTATTTTCCGATCATTTTTCCAGCGGCTGCTCATTTACTCATTGAAAACGTCATGGTAAAATTTGTCACTCTGGAGTTTAATGGTTAAGAGATAACACGTGATAAGTGCACGTGACAGGAGTCTAGCCATGCGAGCGGCGGTGACATTGATTGCTCGTTTTCACTCACATTAAATTTTAAGTAAGTGCATTACGAGACTAAAGTGTAATTGCAAATATTTCACCGTTTCCGCAGGAAGCTTGACGGCAGTCTTCCACATTAACTTCGCATAATACTCCACTGAATCCAGCGTCGCAGGTACAACTGAACCCGTTCACTTTGTCCAGGCAAGTTCCTTGAGTATAAGTACCATAAGGGTAAAATTGTGAGCAAAAATGTGCTATATAACTCCCTTACTGGATGTGACCGTTTAAACGAAACCGAAACTTGTCAGAGTACAGCTGCTACGGCGCCATTAAAAATCGACACTACTTCTGAAAAAATTATCTGCCCGTAGAGACAAAATCAGATGCTATCTGGCGGCCTTAAATGGGTCTCTTACTCGACACACGTGTTCGTACTCGAATGAATAGGTTATTTGTAATGATTCAGTACAGGGCTGTAAGGCTGCAGGCTGTAGGCTTTTTGTTTTTCTTTCTTGACGTACCAGTGGAACCGAACTGATACTTGTCTTTTTTAAGCAGTTGTCTCTCATATTTGGTCAAAGTCATACCTCGTATTTGGTCAAAGTCGTATCTCATATTTGGGTTGTCGTACATATCAGTGCATGAATACTTACAAATGAACTGAGCGAAATGATAAACAATCAAACAGAGATATGAACAAAATCGTCACATCAAATTGTTACAAACAATAGGTTGACTAGACGAACAGTTTATGTTCGATAGCTTCGGCGATAGCCAAAGTTATCCGTCGATTAAGTTGTTCATTACGCTCAGAGCATACAAGGTAGCTTCATTTTAAGTGGATCATCATACCGTTTTTGCAAGGAGATGACTGGCACTCATCAATGTTTACATCGCAGTTTTTTCCAGTATATCCCACTTGACACTGACATTGGTAGCCATTTAACTGGTCCTTGCAGTTCCCTTCAACATAAAGAAAATAGTGCTAAGTGCCAAATGTAAGGTGAAAACGATTTGAAAACTTCCAAAAATTAATAGATGTACCCCCGGTTTTTTTCTTTCATCTACAAAAAGAAGCCATATGAATCTGCTTTGTAAGCGTTCACAATTGAAGTCAAATTTCGCTCTAAGCCTAAGTTATCTTAATCCTGCTTTAAACAACCGCGCCCTCGTGAGTTAAGAACGAAATGTCAGTTGATGCCGCGAACTTTCATTTCGGTTCATCACCTAGCTTCCGAAATTTCGCAGGGACTAGAACAATAGATGTGCGAAAATTTCGCCGAATTTTCGTCTGAAACGAAAGTTCGCAATTTGTTCGGCGAAGTTCGCTCTCATTTCTTTTGCACCGTACTGCAGTGGTGAAAATAGGCAGTTCAGAAGTTTATCGTGCGTATCCGTGACCTTCAGCTACTTGCAAACGGACGCAAGAACTCCCAACTTTGTTGGTCTAACAGTGTTGAGAGTTGATGTATCAGTTTGCACGTAGCTAAAAGTTTGACCAGTTTCAAACTCGGTGCATCATCTCCCATTAACACGCGACAACATGTAACAAGGTGTGCAAACAGACGCAAAATGTAACATCCAACAATGTTGGGAGTTGTTGGCCAACAATATATGTTGCGTCCGTTTGAACGGGGCTTCAGAAAGGTTAGGGGAGAAGGAAGTATATAGAGGTTTTATTCCAGAACAAATGGATCGAAAAGAATTCAAGGTATTCGACGTGATCCGTAATCGATTAGCTCTGTTGTCCGCGCTCTTTTTTAACAGACAACTATTCAAGGAGGGGACGGGTTCACGAAGCCCTTCAAAGTTTCTTAACAACGGTCCGTTGTTATGAGGCAATACTTAGCAAATATGTCAGCTTGGGAGGTCATAAGTATAGGTTGAATGTAATTGGGGCGTTCGATCAAGACTTTTGTAAAGCTACCGAAACAAGTAATGTTTTTGTTCCGCACGAACAGTCCTACACAGGATAACACACACCAGAACATTCATATTCAACAACTTATTACGGACAAACTGAGGAAGAAATGTTCGTAAAAGAAAAGATCAGTTACCATTGACACACGGTGATGATTCACATTCGTCTATCTCTACTTCACATATTTTTCCAGTCCAACCGGCCTCACACTTGCAGATGTAACTGTAAACATCATCAGTGCAATTACCTATGATTAAAATGTACATAAATATTTTGATAATACGAAAAGGAAAATAGTTATGCTAATTGGGGAAACTATGACTTTTAGAGTTAAAAGAAACTGGTTGTTAACTCTAAAACTGGTTATCATTTGCATGTAAGCAAGGTACTTTGAGTCGTGTGAAAACGAAAATAATGTTTCGCTTAGTAAAAATCTTGAGAAAAAATGATTGACAATAATAGTTTTATGTTAGTGATAGCAAAAGTAGTAATATTTTAAGAATTCTCTTAATGATTCGAAACAAACGTTTCATCTGATATATCGGCTAGAATAAGATCGAACAACTTGAATAAACAAAGCAGTAATAGAATTTGAATTTCTTTAATTCTATAACATCGATGAAATATTCGCGTCTGTCACTTGAAATACACTTTCCTGTCCCAGAAGCGAGCTTGGTTATTGAAACGAAAATAATAGCTCTCAATAATAAATAAGCTAACAAAACATTTTACCGTGTACACAGGGCGATAGCTTGCAATAATTGATATCATTTTCGCAATCTCTGCCATCAAATCCGAGTTCACAGATACAGGTATAGTTGTTAAGTAGATCCTGGCATTGACCTGATGTGATAATATTGATAAATGTGTTAGTCTATGAATGATATTCAGAGCTACCTGTTGGAAGCCAGAAAATAACATAGAGGTTAAAATCAAAGTGGGGTTTATCAATGAAAACGTCAATAGTAACGATAATGTTGATGACGATTGTCATAGTAATTTTAATAATCATAAACATGATCTTAATATGATTCATGTCATATATTTCAATTAAATGATGATAATAGTAATAATGAATTTGATGATATTTGATAATGATGATGCTGATGATAATTATGATGATAGTGATGATGATGATGATAATGATGATGATGAAGATGACGATGATGGCTCTGCGAATGACATCGACACAGCGATAGAACGACTTCATAAGGTGAAGAAGACAAACTTTTTTGGAAAGCCTATCAAGAATAATGATAACCATTATTGCTAAACTGTGAAAGGTTTTATTTTTAAACTGTTGTTATCATCTAACAATTATCAATGATGGTAATGTAAAGAAAACGATGATGGTAATCCTGACCAGTGAAAATTATATGTGTGTGACACTTAGACCCAAATCAGAACATGCCCTTGTTTCAAGCTTCGGATGTCGTTTGTAACAATTGTCCAACCCATTAAGCCAGAAGAGAGAAAAAAGGCACTGGTTGGGCATGAAAAAATAATCACTTACCTCTGAAACAGGGATAAGAATCACATTCATTAATTTCAGTTGAACAGTTCATTCCAGTGTAACCGGGAGCGCAGTCACATAAATACGACCCTCGCCCCCGCGGGGTTTGAGGGACACATTTACCATTGTTTTGACATGAGCAAAAATTTACTGTGACGGTGATGTTGAAAGTCGATGAAGCTTGGCAAGCGTCAGTAGCTTTGAAATAAAAATGTGTGGTCTTTTTTGTTGTGGCATTCCAAAGAAGTACACTATTGTGCACTGTTGCGTCCCTAGGACTTCCTTCCAGTAGAGTGATGGTAATTGGCATTCCTTCTGGATCTGATACTTCAATTAGCAGTTCAAGCCTCTCGCCGTATACCGCATAGTAGTCAGTTATATTGGTAGCATTGGGAGGGTGGTTGACTGAAAGTATATACAGAAGGAAGGATTATCATCATTCGATGCAAATTTTTCTTCCTTTACATTCGCAGAGAGCCCACCACGTGACCTGCGAATAACTGCCAAAAATAATGGTCAGCTCACGCGCAATATCGTCTAACTGTGTTTGACTGCAAAAAATATTCTGCTCATGCGTAAATGAAACCACGCTTTTCTCCTTTTTGCGATCGCTCTTGCGTGAGAATGGCAGCCTTCCGAGGATATGAAGTTCATAATTATATTCATCATTTCAAAATATGTTTTACAAAATATCTATGGAAAAACTAAATTGCCTAAAACTGACCAATGGCAACCCTCCCTTCTTCCTCTTATGTGGTAATGATCACCATTCACTGTCGTAACTGTAAAGCTAATGGCAAGCACCTTGTCGAACGTACCTTGGCGTTTGGTCCAGTCGGCTTTATTAATTTCGGGAAGACACTGTTGACACCAGTCCTTTGGGTTTGGTTCGTTCGGTGCAAAACAGTAGCCTTTGATAAAGCAGGATTTGTCCTTATTGTGAAATAAAAATAACATAACACTTTGACTCTGAAGATAACTACCTCACAGGTTGTCGAAACGTCAGTCGCTGTCAATAACAACAGTCCTATTCAATACGACGTTCACCCGGACGATCATACTCAACGTACTTATGAAATGAGCCCTGGGTTCAAACCTTTCACAAAAATAACATACTTAATCAACTTGCAGACGATACGATATTTTGTCCTGGTAGTTGTATGTATGTACTTAATCCGTTCTGTGTTGCTCTCTGTTCTCGACTAAAGCAGACAGCCCGGTTCGGTTATAAAGCTTTTGTTTGTTTTGTTTTGTTTTTTCATTATAACGATAAGTTTGTGAGGCTGATTATGGCAATGAATCGGAAACACTTGATGGCCTATTGCCTGAAAACTTTAATTCCAAAGTCAGTTCGATGTCATTCTAACACATCCAGACAAAGACAGGGTAAAATTGTTTAGCTTGCCTTTAAAACGCAACCTGTGGAAACATTGCACTCCATACAAACTGAATCGTAGGATATAAATTTTAGCTTCTGTTTGCTTTGGTGAATGCCGTTATTTGACACAGATATCATCAGTCCTGCAGCTGGAATTCCTTTGGTCTTTTCATCATACTGGGTACGCCTCACTGGCGAGTCAGGAAGAAGGCATTCTACAATAACAAGGTCAGTCATGGCACCCGAGTATTGTGATTCATTCGTCGCTGGTGTCCACGAACTGTTGACAACCTGACATTAACATGAAAAAAAAAGTAAAGAAACGATAGCCATGTAAATTTAGACGATTTAGGCGGGGTGGGGGGGGGAGCGGCAATTATATTGTGGCTTCGTGAGTTGAACCCCTTTTTAAGGCAATTTGGTCAGGCTTATTTTCTTTTTGTATTCATCTCTTACTCAGCCCCAGAAATTAAAATGAGAATGCGCTATCGAATAATGAAATGTAAATAACTATTTAAAGATTTTATCCGTAGGGAGATCATCGTTTACGCTTTGCTTTAACCGGGTAACCGAATTCTGGTGCCCTGTAAATTTGTACTTTGTTGTAATTTTTTTACCCACGGAACACTTATGAGTTCTTAAGAACTCGTTGAAATGCGTCCGTGCGTTCCAGATCGAATTAGAATTTGGAGGTGCTGGTTTTTAAGGGGAGAAAGAAACCGGAGCACCCGGAGAAAAACCTCTCGGAGCAAAGGAGTGGACCAGCAACCAACCCTACCAACATATGGCATCGATACCAGGATTCGAACCCGGGCCACACTGGTGGAAGCAATGCGCCATCCTTGCTCCCCCTGCGTTTCTCTTACACGCCACACGCTTTCAAGCAGATTCAGAAAAATGCAAAATATTCACCTCGAAGAAAAAGAAAGGATTCTAAAGGAAGATCGATGAACTTTGATTGAATTAATGTTGTGTTTGCCCTCGTAGCATTAAATGTAACAGTCCCTGCTTTTCTTAAAGGATTACTGATACTTGATAAACAAGATCTACGAACTAGCGTAGGAGAACGTATACTTAGTCCATACCTAGGCATCTAAGAGACTGAAGGCTACGTAAGTAAGGTATAAATATGTTTTCTTTTTTTTGCTTTTGCAACGACTTACTTGTCATCTAATTATGGGGTAGAATTAAAATTAAATCGAGGTGAATAGTGGCTAAATATATACCGAGTCACGAAGTGGCGAGGTAAATATTTCTAAGGCCACTATTCGGCGAGATTGAAAATAATAATTGTTTTAGTATATACAGACGAAGTGATCTCAGCAAAATGAGAGAGGAAACCATTAAAAAGTACGATTTGTTTGACAGATCAGGTCAACTAGACACGCGAAAGTTTAAAAATAGATCTTTGTAGAATTTTCAAACATGGCAATTCACAAGCTTATCACTTCGCAAACAACAGCGTAATGACTTAAATGGAGCCGTTAAAAGTTTGAATTGTTTCCTTACCTGAGAAGAAAAGGAGAGCTTTGTTGTTTTCTGTTGACTCTCCAAGTTTATAGCCGAAAAGGTTTGTTGTGTCGTTCTTCGCATGAAGTGCTGACAAAAATGGCGATTCGGTTCCTCGAGGTAAGACGTCGTCTTCATGTAGCATTCTTTCTCGTGTTTCTTTCAAACGTAGAATTTCTGCAAACATTTGCTTTCAAATTTGTTTGTCGTAAATAAACTTCGTTTTGGGGCCAAATTTTTCTTGTTAGGAAATGCTGAGTTCACGAAACGGCCTCTTCTAGGCGAATAAACGGGAGTTGTAAACAATCCCCCGACCACAAAACTCAACTACAGTAAATGGAAAAACGCCGTTTTGAATCCTTCGAAGACTTCTCTTGCCTGACAAAAAGTCAACCCTAGGATTTTGTCGACTTTTAAAAGATCTTTCTCTTAAAAAAAATGGGAAAAAAAACGAGCCCACACATTATCCACTCGCTGGGAGGTGAATATTGTTGAATAGTCCGAGATAGCGAACCAATCAGATTGCTTAAATCACCAAGATCACTGAGTGTGTTTGTACTAATTTAAGCTAATTTATACAACAGGATAAATTAAAGTTAATGTGATAACCATAACCTGCCCTTACCAGTAATGGAACCAGCTCGCTTCCTTTCAGGAGTCACTTCCTGCATGCGACCGCTGTCACACTAATTGTTTCGCTCAGCCAATTCGATGCCAGCTATCACATGAACAGTTGATGCCATATTTTCGCGCCTAGCTCAGCAAAATAGCACTTCATATTCTTCTCTTCGTGGAACAAAATCTCATCCCACCCTCCCTTATTACTGCTTGATTCTCTCTGCTGGTTTTCTTAAGGTTTTATATATGAGGTCTTTTCTCTTGCTTAAAAATTTAAGAAGCTGCTTATACTTTTTGCCGTCATAAGAAATACTGATCTTTGTTGTTTACACTTTGAATCAATTGGCAATTGTCAAGAAGATATTGCAGAAAAGAGGTGGGGTTTTACTGAGGGGAATCATTCTACCAGGCATCCTAACATGCTTGTGCACTTAGTTACTTTGGACCTTATTTTGATTATTAAGTTGATAAAAGTTTAATTGTCATTTACTTACAACTTGTATTAATATATTTTCGTCTAACGTCTCTCCCTCGAGGTTCATGTTAAGTGTCTGGCTCTGCTTTCGGGAGGGTTCAGGTCTTCCTCAAAAATAATTGAGGGTTTTTCCTGACGGGCAGCAGGCACGCAATTCTAGCTTAAATTAGTGATGATATCTGTATTGAGAGTTGTTGGCAATTAATAAACATGGGTTCGGGATGAAGTGCTCCCATACAGACCACACTTTGCCCCATAGACTCTTGTTACTCCTTAAACCGGGGAATTAGACATCTAGAGAGGTCTTTCCACCTCTCCAGTACCCAAGGGGAATTATCACCTCCACTCACAACCTTGGGGGATTATCAACCCCTAGAGAGGATTATCACCTAGCTTCTCACTATCCTGGGGGATTATCACCCCCAAGAGAGGATTATCACCTCTCACTATCCTGGGGAATTATCACTCCCTAGAGAGGACTATCACCTCTCCCCTTGTAGATTTCGGACTGTTACACCAATATGTAGAGAAAAGTGACCTGCTGTCCATATTTGGAGTACTTCATCCCTTACTCCTTTTCCCCATAATAATTCCTGGTCTAGTTACTTGCTTTTATCTAAGGGGTTATGGGTTAAGAGCATTAAAGATGTACTATCATCATAACATAATACCTCAATTTCCTGAATATGGCAAGTTATGTTTGTAGAATTAAGAAAACCATTTCCAAACACCGAAACTTTCTTACAAGGTCTTATTCGTCTATCGCACAAACCATTTGTTTGAAGTCTGAAAGATAAAATTCACAATAAGAAAAACCAGAAAACTTGAATTTATCAGATTAAAGCATTACAGAGACGGCAAATCCAGGGCCTTAGCCCTAAGCTACAAGAGCGCAAAGTCTTGTGGCTACTATAGCTATAAATCTTCATTATCCTACTTGTGAAGGCGAAAGTGGCCGAACTCCGGATCTGAAGGTCCGGGTTCAAGCCTCGCCCGTCGCGTTGTTTCCTTAGACAAGGACCTTATTCCACTTTGTGTCTCTCTCTTTACCCAGGTGTATAAATAAAGACCGGCGACATACTGCTGGAGGTAACCGATGGACTAGCATACCGTCCTGATGGGGGGTAAGGGGGGGTCCATTTGGACATTTGGCTGGTGTACGCCTTTATCTTTTTACCTGGTCTTACTTTTCAAGCATGTCTATTTGCAGTTTAACACAAGGAACCAGATAGAGCTTTAAGAATACTGATATCCAATTGGTAGCTGCACTCGTACTCACCGCTTTTGCGATATATTTTCCACGAGTGTAACAAATACTGTTCCATGAAGCAGGGTGGGAATTTAACGAAACTGGCATAACTGGGCTCTAAGTTTTGTAAATATTGAATTCATGGACTGAATTATTTTCTGTTTCACAGAGACGCAACACTAACCTTGAAATATCTGGTACCTGATACAATGATATAGAGCAATCTTCAGCAGTGTAGTCCTTATTACAAATACACGAGCCGTTGACGCATTTTCCGTTAAATGCACAGTCATTAGGACACAAAAGCTGGCCAATCTCTTCTACTATAGAGGGTATTATCACCTCTTGGGTGCTATTAGACGTACTATTAGTAGTAGAATTACTGGCAGGTAATGTTATGTTCTGTATAAGTGCGTCGTTACATTCGTTCATCAACATGGAAACAGCTCCAACGGCAAACGATAGGTCTCCCGTAAACTACAAAAAAACCGAAGACATACATAATACATACATAATGTTGTTATTTTCGGCTTAAGTCGGTATAAGTGGATTAAAAAGTTTTATAAGCGCACAGGAATCTAGGAGAGGATCCCAAAAGACAAACGGGGAACAATGATGTGAAACTTGTTTTGCAAAATTGCTGCAAAATAACTTGAAACGCGGTATATAAATTATATTTAGGGCTTTACCAAGTACCCACGTTCAAACCTTTCTTACAAGAAGTCAGGTTGCTGCAATTTGTTGCAGAAAGAGTACTTGCCCAACTGAATTTTAAGGTTTAATCATAGTTAATTGAGTCGAATGGTTATGAAACCCGTCAGACTCCTTTGTTATATGTTTTTGTGGACCTGAAAGTGCACAACGTTCAAAAGAATTCCTATCATTTTGATTGTATTGACCAATAAAAACGTTGCATTAATTTATTCCGTAACAATTTGCCAACAGGAAACAAAGGATTGTGCACTTTCACGGTACTTCCAACATAAACTGCAGCACTGTTGTTTTTATCATTGATGTTTGCCGCTTTTCATAACCAGTCTCCTCTAATAACTATGGTTTAATCCAACACACGGCAAAATTGGACCATTATTTTTCTGGCATCCATGAAGGGGAATAGCTTGACTTGGCCCCTTTAATGAGGTAACTGAGACAACACTTTGAGCCAAAGCTTTTAAGAATGGTTAGAATAAATGATCGCAAGACGATATGAAAAAGATAGTGATGCTCGTCAAGAAAGTTCAGGAGCGTAAATCTGGGCAAAACCTTGCTCCTAGTCTGCATAACAGGCGTTATTTGTTCGCATGTTTCAGTCGAGCGAACGCAAGCAATCACGCTTGGAATACAGGCTACTTTTTTCCTGAGTTCTCTTCTATTCTTTGGGAGAGAACCCTAGGGACGAAGGTGTTCGGGACGTTCATCAGGCCTGACTCGTCCCTTAGTAATTTTCTTCTCCTTTTTTGTTATAGGACCGTACTACGAGCATTTTTCTTGATACTCCTTTGTCCCTTCACTGACTCAAGGTCATCCACAGCTCGGAGGTCCAATTCGGAGTCAGTCGTCTTAGGGAAAACGGTTCGACAGTTTTTTTGACCCGACCGACTGCTCCTTGGCCTCCTAATTGTTATATGCATTTTCTTGTCTAAAGAAGCTACTGAAATGAAATTGTGCCAGCTGTTTCGATCTGCCTCCTTTCGGATAGCTTTGAGGATACTTACCTCGATATCAGAGGAGCAGACGTTCACCAGTGCCTGTACATTTGTTCCCATTTTGGCGCACAACTTCCCCACTGGAGTTTCCGCCAATTTATCATTGCAATATCGTGTTGCGTTTTCCTTAGAAATCGAATTAACTGATCGTTTTGATCTTTTATGATTATTCGTCCCCAGGGAGTTGTAAAACAACCTAAAATCTTCGTCCGTTAAATCGTCCGACCCTTCTACTATATCCCTTATTTCTCTTTTCTTTCGTGAGGCAATATTCTTGTGACACTTTTTTATTCTCTGGCCTTTTTTTCCTTGGTTCAAAAAGCCTTGGGGAAAGACAACTGGAATGCCGTCCACGCAGTCATCTGTGAGGTTATGATTTTGTACTTCACTACAGCTACAAGATTGTTCATATTCCACACCACCTTTATCTGAATTGACGTCAGCAGGAAGCGTATCGAAGTAGCTTGGCGATGCCCTGAAGGGAAAGGACCAACTAAATTTTAGAAGAATGTAATTGAGTAGTACATGCATGAAGAGTCAAAAGAAAGTACGAAAGGTTGTAACGTTTTAAATAGAGGTGTAATGATTTAAGTAAAGAAATTAAACAATAACACTTGTTCAAAAAGGAAGAAAAACAAGAAAAATTGATTAACTACAATCTCAGACAAAATATAGTTACGATTTCCACAAACCGTTCCTTTCCCCCAAATCAAGGATGGTAAAATGGTGCGTTTCCGCCTTTGAGCGTGGTATTTGAAGGGGGTGGGGCAGTGGGGGTGGGTAGGGCGGTCTAGCATTTCTTTTCATTTTGTCCAAGATATGTCACGCCTTCTCCAAAATGAAATAAAGAGCTTATTTTATACGTAGCATGATCATGACTGGTGGAGGAGTCTATGGTCGAGTGGTTAACGCCTCGAACTCCGGATCTGGAGGTCCGGGGCCTCGCCCGTCGCGTTGTTTCCTTAGACAAGGGACTTTACTCCACTTTGTCTCTCTTCACCCAGGTGTATAAATGGGTAACAGCGACGTACTCATGGGGGATAACCCTGCGATGGACTAGCATCCCGTCCAGGTGGGAGTACAATACTCCCAGGTGCTTCATGCTAATGAAACCGGTGACTCGTGTGGGCCCTTACCTTTTTACCTTACCATGATCAAAACTGTCATTCCTATTCAATTTAATATGACTATAAACAATCAGTCCTTACCTTTGCTGATTTCCAAAGTTTGTATCAATCAACCGTGGTCCACAGGAAGCACCTGGGTACGTACACAGACCTTTTTGAATTCCATTAGCCTTAGGAGTGTAAATCGAAACATCGATGCCCCAGTAGTTCCTTACTAACTGTACTTTTATCCCGGATGGTAATATATACTGCAACACAATTTTGACAAGACATGACAACTTCAAAATGAGATGAAAGGTGTTATTAAAAGCAACAATAAAGGTTCTTCTTTGTTTTACGGCACTGATGACAGTACAGCGCAGCAAGATGGCAACTAAACGCGAAAAATTATTCTTTTGGTGGATATAAACAACTTTTACTAAGAATTGAACGCATATATTCACTTCGTTATTTTTTCCATGGATAAACGTTAAAAACTCTCCCTCGTGGTGCACCGCAAATTGTTCATCGATATCTAGGAACATCGTAAACCTGCCATACATCTTTAACGTTTTCGAATTAGCAAGATGCTTGATAAAGACTAACCGACATTTTGCGCGAAATCTTATAGTTACGACCATAAATGTAGCCCTCTTGCAAAAGCTTACAATAATTTAAACTTCTTTCAGAATTTGGTGCAGTAAATGAGATCAAAACTGCACTTGGAATTTTGAAAGTACAGTACAGAAGAACAAAGCGCAACGTGCTTTATTACACTCTGCGTACATAAGAACACCTTGATCTTCTTTTGTCTTTTTGAGGAGTCAGGGGGTGAAAACGAGGCCATGCCTGAATCACGTCAAGCCTTTGAAGTCGCCGTTCAACATCCCGGATTTATAAACCAGTCAATATTGTTTCTCTCGTCAAACTTGTTTTCCGAGTGTGAGCTACCGTTTATTGTTAAAATTCGGGTCATAACTGATCGAGCGCACGACTGTTAGGCCTTAATATCGCAAATGTATTCTAGCAACATGGCGCGCATGCTCAACAAAGATCTTCCTCGATTCATGCACGGTCTTTCTCGAGTACGCCAAAATCGAGCGCTAAAGTAAAGGAAAAGCTGTGCTAGCACAATGCCATAAGGAAAAACAATAAATTCTCTTTTTTTTTTTTTACAATAAACCATGAGGAAATATGAAACAGCACGTACCTCAAAACCAATATTCGAACCAAAGATTTTATTCTTCAAGGAAAGACCTGGTGGCAAACATTTAGGGCCTGGTATGTCAACTTGAATGGGTGTGTTACTATCTCGCGTCATTGTCGGATTACAGCAGCTAAATTTAATCAGATGATGCTTGAGACGAACTATTGCTCCACAGTTGCAAGTAACGGACCTTGGACTGTTGCAAGCCCACTGCCTGGTTTGAACCTGAAAATAACTACCTTGTTAGAGGAAGATAACGCTTCGTGAAATTAACGCAATTTTGAAAAATGTACGTTCATTTTAGTCGCGTTAATTTCTGCAATCGTTAATTTTCGCGCCGTTAATTAAGTGTAGCATAAATTTCCGGAGCTTAATTTCCATTATTTTGATCCCAAATTCTCAATACACTTCTGACATTTCGGATTAAACGTTTAACGTTTTCCCTGTTGTGTCAACAAGTTCAGTTGTTCCTTTGTTAAGGTCGCGTTCAGAATTTCCTTCATTTTGAATTGTTACCCTCAGTCTTTCGCGTTAATTTTCTTTATTGGAAAATCGTTTTCCACTAAATTTGCGTTGATTCAAGTCGCCTTTTTTTTCCAATACCTTAATTCCATGCAGCATTAATTTTCTATAATAAGTTATTACCTGCCGTTTGCACAGTATGTAGAAATGTTGTCCTGAAAGAGAGGGATACCCTCCCAACAACTCTAGTAAGAGTTTACATGAAGAGAAAGCTGACCCATTTACTCGAACCAAAAGCGGATTATCAGCGTTCGGTAAAAATATTGTAAGAAATGGTTAAAAAAGACACTGCAGCTGGACGATTTCAGTTAAAAAGTTTAATTTAAATAATTAGTTACAACGTTTTGGCCTCAGGGAGTTTTCAGTACGCAAACAGATGAAATATAATGCCCGTATAATATATCTAGTATCCAAGTCAGTCGTACATGATTTCATGAAATGGTAATGGAATCAAAGAGTGTGCAAGTGAAGTTAGCTCACCTCGAAGTCTCTATCTACGTCGTGATATAACACAAAATCTCCAAGTCCCATGAAATCTTTCCATACCGTTCTGTTCAGACAAAATATAAAACAGAGATGAGTCTTGGGATATCAGTTGTTCAACCTACCTTTTAAATAATGCCCGGCATTCCTTGAGCGCACAAGGGGAAGGGTATCTAAAACTCGTGATGATTTATTTTGTTATAGTCTATCCTGAAATTAATATATTTTCTTGTTTTATAGCTGGAGATCTTTTCCCAACAGTGGCCGCTCTCATTCGTTGCTTGGAGATCAATTGACATCTAACAATGGAACAGTTTCCCGCCAAAGGCTTTGCAAATCTATGACGTCAGAGGGTAGCAGTGCACTGTTACCTGCGAACGTTGATCGCTCGTGACATTTATTTTCATAAATTTGTACACGAAAAAGGTTTTTCTTCGTGGGCTATATAATTTTGTTTCCCAAAACCAGTCATTAAGTGTTTCTTAATGTTTATTGGTGCATAAACATAGTAAGAAGACCCTTAAGTTTGGCTTTTTTTAAAGTGTTTTTATACTCAGAAGAAAATGAAGTTTTCAGTCACCCACAATCACGTTTATCAAGACGATACAAACGACATGAAAATAATTAATCATAACTACCATTACCGCTGATCTATAAACAATTATCGCACAAAATCATCTCTCTTAAGGTGACTCGACCCAGTTATTTTGTGAGGGTACCATCCTACTTTGAAGCTCTCTGGTATCCCCACCTTTACTTTGATCGTAAGCCTAACATATAGCATGGATAACATATAGATCAATCCACAATATAGCATAAAGTTTTGGCGATCGGAGTAAATGTCACGTGGTTATAGTGCCACGTCTTTTTGGGGTCTGAGTCGAAATTCTGTTGTTGGCGGCATCTTTTTCGTGAAAATCTCTCGGTTACATATAGTGCGTATTAGTGCCTTGCGTTGAACAGACTTTCACCAAAATCGCAAAGACCCAATGCGAGAAATTCAGCGGTTTCCAAATTCAGGTCATAATTTATGTCAAAATGAAAAGCCAACTTTACACGATTATATCTAATAAACTATGAGATGTATCCCTTTATTTTGGTGATCTTTATATCAGATGGGTCCTTGCAACAAGTCAGCAAAAAACTTCAGGGCCTTGTAAATGCGCGCGATCTCGAGCAATGCAAACATATACAAATTGTAATTTTAGCTAGTTGTTGACGTTTTTCAGCGTTTAAGAGTCCTTCTCACGAAAAAAGCGTTTTCTTAAAAATTCGTAGCTTTTTTTCCTTCCAATTTTTTCAGGACCACAATTGATTAGATGACTACCCGAATTTTGAATTTCATGATTGTTGAAAAACTGTGACATCATCTTCTATAAGCCCAAACTCGAGTAAACATTGAAGATTTTAGCGTTTTGGCTGAGTTTATGCTTTGGGAGTTTTCTATTGTTTCTAGTCTGTCATGATACAACCTTCTTGTTCAGCACGCGTGCAAAGACCGCGCTTGGCTGAATTCCGGATGTTCACCGAGATATGATAATTTTGTGTGAGAAAATAGAAAGGATTCCCCTCACGTAACGTCTAAGGGCCTGTTTACATGGAAGTGGGGGACCCCAGGTAGGTGAGATAACCCGCTTAGGTGGGGTAAAAAAATAACCCTCCTTTACATGTGATCTTACAACCCCGCCACCTCGGGGTGCACATTTTCAAGAATATTGAATGGTCGCTAAGCACGTAAACAAGAAAAATGCTGGCAAACCTCGTGTTTTGGCGATAAATTAATGCTCTTCTACACTCCAGTGCTGCTCTTGCTGCAACCTTCAGTGCTGTGGCTTTCTATTGCTACCTTTAATAATGATGCGAAGCCACCGCCAAAATGAATATTACTCGAATTTGATGTATTGAGAATCCGGCCCCGGCTAGGCGGGTTACCCCACCTTGAAACGTTTACATGGCAAAATTTGACCCAGGCTGAGAGGGTTACCCGGTCTGGCAGACCGGGCTACCCGCCCAGGCGGGTCACCCCACCTATCATGTAAATGTGATCCAAGTAAAATGAGAGATTATATGGACAGGCGGGTTACCCCACCTAAGCGGGTTATCTCACCTACCTGGGGTCCCCCACCTTCATGTAAACAGGCCCTAAGACATAAACAACCTCAGCGCTTTGTATACTGCAGGAGGTAAAAGGGCTTTGCTACCAATTTTAGCATTACCTCTAAGCAAGACAAGCAAGAAAGATTCTAGAGCGAAACCAAGAGTCACAAAAAAAACTGACAGTGCTTACAAGTGTAATTAATTTTTTCACTACCAGATGAAAGGATAAGTAATGAGTTGCTTTAATTATTGGCTTGCATTAAACGTATGTAAAAATGATATATTTCTTTTAATGGTAAGTAGATTTAGTGTGTAGCATTTCTTGATTTTTTTGTAAAGGCACAAGAAGCACGAGAATTGATTGAAAATCGTGAGTTAAACCTCTATGTATCACGCTATCGCCTGTCTCACCATACCAAAATTATCAGCCGGTGAGCATTCGGAAGTCAGCCAAGCGAGGTCATTGCACGTGCACGCGTGCTGAACAAGAATGCTGTATCATGACAGACTAGAAACAATAGAAAACTTCCAAAGCACAAACTCAGCCAAAACACTAAAAATCTTCAATGTTTACTCAAGTTTGTGCTTATTCATGTGCTGATGACCCAATCAGCTTACATCAATTGAGTCAGGTGCATGTATTTTGATACCCAATGAACATAGCGATCAAGACACATTCGATTAGTTCAAAACTGATCAAGACACTGATCAAGAAACTTGAATTTTAATCAGTCGTTATACTAAATACAGTATATTTGTCGCTTCAATCATTACTTACAACAACAATAGGGCAACATAGTATTCTTTCAACTTTTCCGTTGTAGAAATAGATCGTGTTCAATAACGACTTAGCTGATGTAGTTCCCAGCAATTTCTTCTCCCAGAGTGTTACTTCTTCTTGCTCGCTCACAAACTCCTTCTCCTCCTTCTTGCACTTAATGTGAAGCCCTTCTCGAAAGCCATCCTTCATCTCCGCATCTAAGCAACGTCGGAACAGGACAAACCTTCGAAAAACAACACACCAAATTCACTTCCCAAAACAGTGCATTTTAAAATTCTGAAAAATGCGGTCTAAAAGTTGTCAATTACCTTTTCTCACTAGTGTCCAGAGGATTCAAAGCTTCGGATCCATTTTTCTCCTCCAAATAACGCTTAAGCGTACAAGTGATACCATAAACAGTCTTAGGA